CTAACAGAAACCCAGATGTTGGTGTCCATTCTCAGCCGTCCGTGACGTTTCCCGTATTAACCAACGCAATGCCCGCAAGACTCGTCTTTTTCAGGAATGGCATCGGCATCCACCCCTGCTAGGCTCTCAGTTCTTCCCCTCCCCCACCCTTGCCGCAGGCCCCTTGCCGTCTCGAGCATATCTGAAACAGCAGCAAAAACCTCTCAGCGACCAATCGCTATGTCTCCTCTTGCAATCCGCGAAGTGTCCATACATTTTGAGATTCTCTTGCTTTTTTTACGACATGCAGAAGGATGCAGTGGATTATCAGTCGCATGCGTGCAGGACACCTGCATAAGACGACAAACGACGCAATTGTGATCCCTCCAAGTCCGCCAGCCCCAACGGGACGAAAAACGGGGCTTTGCGAGAGGCATCGTCCGTCAATCAACCTCCCAGCCTCCTTTACTTCGTGTCATACTCAGAAATGCTCGCTGTCTTTATGAGATGTTGCCAAGAAGTGCCGCCAGGACGCTGCAGCACACGCGGGCACAAATACACAAAGTCCGTGAGCTTGTGTATCAGAATACTCAACATAAAGTAGCAAGCTAGGTAGATGCGCGCTCACAATGTGTACAAGACATCTCTTGCATACGGAATGTACGCGTACAGTGTGCAGGGCGCTCTTCTTCGACAGGCGTACGCAACGCGGGCGTAACGCGCATGCCAGCTCCAGGTGTGCCTTTCAGACGCCCCTGAAAAGTGGTCGAGATGAGCCTCGCAAAAGGCCGAGAAAACACTTTGAGGAACGATGACGAGAATAACAAAAGGACGGTATCTACGAGGGGCAAAACACGCCTCACAGTGGGACAGAGGGCCCGATGACGATCAACACATAGTTGTGGGACAATGTGTGAACGTTTATCGAGCTCTCGAGGTTCTTTCATCGGCGAACAATCCAGATACTTAAGTATTTCTTATTCACTCCTTCGGGGAATGTACTGCCATCTGCGAGTGGCAATGTGGCCCGGCTGGACATTGGTCATTGATGATGGCCTAGATGGTCTTGCTAAGTATGGACGAGGTCCAGTTTTATTGTTGTTTTCGCCTCGTTCTTGTTGCGTCGCTGGTGTTGACGTTGCCCGACTTCAATTTTCTGTGTCGTCCTTCATATTTTCCACACTCTCTACAATTCAGTGCAATACACTTCGAGGTGGTTGTTTTTGTTGTTGCTCGGCTTCTTCACGGACTATTGGTTCTTGGTATGTATCCAGGGCTGGGGACGCGAACCTCGGCAGCTTGGAAAGGCGTTGATTCCACACTGTGTGCGAGAACAGCTTTCACGGAACTTCTCATACCAAATTTGTTGACTAGTGCCTCTCGCCTGCCAAGGTCAATCCGGTAATATCAACGGGATGCTTCCAGACCCTGGCAGGTTTTCCGAAGTGTCAAAAAGTGAGAAAGAAAACAAAAAACCACTGACTTGGAAATAACAACGGTAAAAGATAGCAACCTATGCCGTCTTCGATTTGCGAATGACAAAGTCCGCCAAACCTACATTGGAATCGACGGATACGAGTCGACACCACTAAGGAGAGGGACCACGCCAGTCAGCCAGTCAGCCAGTCAGCAAGGGCCCTGTTTTTTACGCCATCGGATCAAATTTATTGGATGCTATTTATTTCTCTAGGCGAGCCAGCGTCGCCTGTTGTCACTATTTTTTTCTAGAACAGCTCGTTTTGTTCCACTTGACAAGAACGCCCTGTTGGATTACGAGAAAGTGGCTCTCAGCCCAACAAAAGAGGCACTTTCTCTCGGGGTTTTCGGAATTTGCGGCAGTCCACACAACTGGCTCGCTTTTATTGTTTGTTGATTTACCTGTGCTTGTTTTGCCTGTGCTTGCTGTGCCTCCTATTCTCTCCAATTTGTTTTCGGTTTTTTTTGTCTACCATGCGGCCGTGGACAGCTGGACGACCAACGGAACAGTGCTTATCCAACCATACGAAAGACGAAAACAAAGAGACCACTAACACAGATCCAGGCCCTGCACTAATCAATCCAATACGCAACTTATGCAACAAGTGGTTACAACTTGGAACTCTCAGAAAAACCGGTCCAATTGTGGACAGTTCAAGCGGCCAGTGTGAGATCGCTGGACGCACTGGACGCGCACGCTCTGGTCACAATCGCACACGCTGGACCTTGTGGACGAACGTGTCTGTCGTCAGTTTCAAGCACCCCAACCCTGTCTCAGTTCGCCGATCCTAAACACGCTGCGCCTCGTCTTCTGTCGTCGTCACCAACACCACCATCAAAATCAAAGCCACACGCAATGTAAATCTGTTCAGAACACACACACATAGCCCTGCCAAGTGACCTAGCCTCGCGAATGTATGCAACATTCAACAGTGGTATTAGCATTTGACAGAGCAGCAACTACGAATATGCAACCACTCCATCTTGTGTCTCCCCATCTCTTCCTTCTGTCCATTCGGAATCCCCATAAGATACAGTGGACCTCCAGGGCCTCCAGCGCTCCCTTGCACAGTCAACCAGACACCAATGGAAACGTTAGTCTGCCATGCTCTCCCAGCTGCCGACCTGCATGTGTTTGGATGTAAGGAGGGAGAAGTGGGGAGTAGAAAGCGAGTCAAGAGCAAGACAGGGGAAACCCCCTTGCCGGTTTGGCCTCGAAAGGTTTCTGGGGCTTTAGTCGACAAAACTCAGTACTTTGCAACTTGTCTTGCATGGGCTCCCAGACTCTCTTGCATTATTACCCTGTGGAGATCATGAGGGTTCAGACGGCTTTTCTTACGTCGCCTCCAAAGCGACTACGACACATCCAACAGAGGCGGCTTAGCACTCATGCGACATTAACAACTCTTACGGCTCTGAACGCCGAGACCTGAACGAAATCTACGATCAGGAGTCATGTTGACATGATGGAACACATGTACTTCGTACACACACGCTCAGCGCACAACGCACAAACTCGTGTACGCGGTACCTGCTGGTCTGCTTGCTATCCCTTCTAGCTGAAGCTGCCACTGCCTACAATTCCCCTCTCCTTCTTTTTGCGATTATTTATTCTACTTTTTTGAATTTATTTATTTTACAAGCGTACGTCCCACCCCTACCCACCGCTAACCTGGCGGGCCTGACGTTACCTTCCCAGCTACAGCACAGTTTGGAACCACACGGCCTGACTAAAAAAAAGACGTTGCCCGACGAGACTGCATCATGCATCCGCACCCTTCCTGCCGAATCTTGCTCGACTGCACTAGATGCTAGAAACTTTTGTTTGCTGGGTCCTCTGTCCTCTCAGCCACCTCCTTTCCCCCCTCAGCGCGCACCAGAGACAAGCAAGAAACCGAACAAGCTGCAACCTGTACGCCGTACCTGCAACCGGACCGCACACACGCACACTGACCTGCACCTAGGCTGCTAGATTTTGACAATAAACAGAGGTGAAAGAGAAAAGGCTCCAGGTGTCGAGGGGCACATACCCTTGTCTTGGGCTTGTCTCTGTTCCTGTCTCTTGTTTGTGTGTGTCCCTTGTCCAGCGATTGGTACCGATCTTACAGCCCTTCCTTCGCTCTGTTACGTCGTCGTCCGTGTACGGGTTCCAGAGGGAGAAGGCGAAAGCTAAAGACGAAAGGGGTGTGGGTGCAGGAAGGAGAAGGAAGAACAAAATGCCATTGTCAACGTCGCCGCCGCAGCACCATCCCTTGTCCTCTCGTTCCTGCCTCTCGACCATTTTCCATCCACAGCCGGTTTTGTTTCTTCTACCTTTTGTGTCTCCCTTTTATCAGCGTTTCTTTTCTTCTTCCCCCCTTTTTTGCATCCCCATCTTCACATCACAATCCATTGTCAGAAGCCCTTGTATTTTTGTCTCTGGTCCGTTTTGCGGCCTGTGCGGGTCGCTGCCATTCCCTTTTTTGGACATCTTACAAGTAGAACCCTTCCTGCCTCTGCCTCAGGTTCCAGAACCCTTTTACACCATTGTTAACAACAAACACCCCCCCCCCCCCCAACCTTCTCCCTCCTTGCCTCCACGACTTACTACCTTCTGTCTTTCACACGCCCCCCCCCCCCCCTCTCTCCGGCCTACCCAACTACCCAACGTCCATCTACTTCTCCAGATGTACGTCCTGGACCAGGTGGGCTCTTCAACTTTTTTGTTTGAATATCCAGACATTCGAACAGGCACGGCCGTATCCTTTCTTGCGGTATTTCACCCCTTGTCTTCGACCTCAGCATCCTCGCTTCGACATATCCTTTCAGTATTCTCTCGCCTTCTTGGTATTACATTCTTTTTTCTGTATCCGTTCCTATCGTATGTCGCCCTTTGATTGAATCACGGTCGTCGTCTCGAAGAGAACTTGACTCTCAAATCGAACTGATCCTTCTTCGTCGGCCTCGACGTTAACATCTGGGCGAGCGTGGCATCCCAGCGTTGTCCGTGGGGCCGTCCGTGACATAGCCGAGCCTGGGATCTCCCATACTTTGACATCTGAACGATTTGCAGCAAGCAGCCTCCTGCCGTTGTTCATTTATCTGGGCTCGTCCCTTCATCTCTCTCTCTCACTACCGCCGTCTTTTTTCCCTTTGTTTTCCCTTTTGTTGTTCCCGAGTCGGACGATACCAATCACGCATGTCCGACTACTGCTATGAATCATCGGACTAAAGAGAAAAGACGATCTAGACCGAGATTCTTGTACAACAACAAAAGCAACAAGTAAAGAAGACGAATCGATCCGGATCGAACAGGTGCGGTGGCCAGCGTCCATGTTTTTGTCATCCTTCGCCATTGTATTCTCGCAACGTCTCGACGTATACATTGGGGTGGCGTTTGAAGAAGTCTTTATGACTTACACCTTCGACGTCTCGAGACAATCACAGCTCCTTTGACTGTTAATTGTCGGCCACACCTTGTTTTGATAAGCGACTCTCGATCTGCATCAAACAACAAGTCACGAAAACAAGACCATCTGCTTCGGAAAATTGCTGAACCCGACAAGATGGATGTGACTGCGATGCTGAACACGGCCTCAACGGCCGCGGCTATGGAACCGAATTTGGAAATGATTCACGAACGGAAAGACAGCAGCGACGACGACTTTACAGACTCGGCGCAGACACCATCGGCAACGACAGGAGACAGCACGGCCCCGTCGAGTGTGGTTGCGACCCCGCTGGAGAAGACACCGTCCCGCCGGTCAAGCGATTCACGGGCCCCGAACCGGAACCGGACACCGTGGGATGCCGGCGGCTATTCGCTGTCGATGGCGCTCGACAACACAAAGAAGCTTGTTCAGACGTCACCAAACACACTGCATGTGCTGCCATCGTCAATGACGTCAACAACACTTCCCGAAAGCGTCGACACTGCATCAACAGCGGTGCCCGTTGGTAGCACATCGCCGCGGCACAAATTCTCCGACAGCCGGAGCAGCTTGTCGTCGGCGTACACTAACGCATCGTCCACCAACTCAGTCACCCACTCGCGCATCTCGTCGCTGTCGACTGTGTCCGAGAACCAGCCGCTGTCCAATTTGATTGCTGACTTTTCGCTCTTGGAGACGCGGATTTCCGAGCCCTGCATTGGCGGTATTCCGGCGAGCATAGTATCATGCCAGGGTCTCCAGTATCAACAGCAACAACACCAGCTCAAGCTGCAGCAGTATTCTCTTACAGCAACCCAGCTTCCGCCGTCACAAGAGCGTGCTGGTGGCGAGGCAGACCGGCTGAATTACCAGCCAGAGTCACCAACGCCTGTCCGGTCACGGCATGACATGTCCATGGGCGGATCGCCAGGGCCCAGCCCACGGTCACCCGGCCGGGCCCAGTCACCATCTGACGCCATGCTTATCCAGCGGTCAGGACAACCCGAAGAGACCGACTATTTCCAAAGCCCGTCAAGGTAAGCAAAGCAGCTTTGCTTTTTGCCAGAGTGGATGGCCGTTTTCCCTTTCATTGTCGCACTCTTTTCGCTTTATATATGCACAAGTCTCCAAGCAGGCGTATGCCATGCATTTGTTCTCATTACTCGGCATCGGCTGTGCAAATGGCCAGCTATTTTGCCACGGCGTCATTTGTTATTGTGACCGCTCAATAAGAAAGAGCGCATGGCGGGTTTGCGTTGTCAGGTAGTTCCTCAATGAGGCTCTTGTCACATTGTCCTCACCTCGCACCTTCCCAGTTTTTACCTCACGTCGCTTGCTCCTTCCCTCTGAGTTGGAAATGGGCAGCCTACGCAACAATTCGTCCCAAGTTGGAAACCACCCCTTTTGCTACGTAGCTGTCCCTTCGTTTGCATTGACTCACGTCGTTCCTTCCATTTCCGGCCATATTTGAACCCTTGTGAGCTCTGTCAAAATCGTCACAACACTTTTCTCAGGGCAAGGACCCTCCCTCCCACCTCTCCTCCCCTTCCCCCCCTTCTTTTCCTTTTCTTCCCATATTCGAGCAGCAAGTCCAGGCTTCTGTTCCTCTACAGCACACTTCTTTCGTTCGACTTGGCAGGCAAAGGTGTTTCTCTCCTATTTAAAGAAGAGAGTCTCCCGCGTACGTCCCATTTTCTCCTTTCGTTCCTGTGCCTTCCTCGAACTTCCTCCAAGTGAGAGAAATTTTCACATCCTCTCTCTCTGCCCAAATAGAAAAAGTGACGTGAGCCTGAAAAGACGGGCGATACCAAAGCGACAAAGAATCCAAGACGTTCCAAGAGATTCCAAGAGCTTCAAACTGACCAATCTCGAACATAGACTGCACATACCATCCTCAAGTCAACGCTCCCAGTCTCGAGGCGACTTCCTTCTGCCAGATATCTCACCGACACGTCGTCACAAACGGGCAGTCTCTGCTCCAGACTTCCCATCCATAGGCACATCTTCTTTCAATCCGCGCTTTCCAACCTTCGGCCCCATCCCGGAACCGACCCCGTCACCATCACAACATAGTGACGGGAATATGATGGAACACGATTCCACTTCAAGCTCGCCCACTGGGCCAGAACAGTCCCGGGTCACGCCCGACGGCCGTGCTTCCTCGTCAGAGTACCAGGGCCACTCCAGCGTAAGCAGTGGCAGGATGGCTAGCACCTTGTCATCAAGCCCCATGAACATGAGTCCACCGGGTTTGGCTGCGGCCGGTCACCATTCTCGCGTCTCAAACGGTTCGATCTCCGACCAAAGCCCGAACCAGCAGACAAACTCTGCCACTTCCGGAACTGACCTCCCAGTCGACTTTGAGACCGCTTCCAGATGCATGTATCGTGGTGACTGTCAGACTGGCTCGCAGCTGCGCAAGGCCATCTCGCACATCTTCGGCCGCAACAAACTGTGCACACGCATGATTCCGACGGGCGTCTGGGTCCATTACTGCCGCAAGCATTACCAGCGAACCAGATATCGCAATGGCGGTGAGTATCCACAGCGCCAGATCGGCCTCGTTCAGGAGCAAATCCGCCGGGTGCAGGCCTGGAGCGATAGCAATGCCCAGCAAAGCCGCGGCCCTGTTCTCAAGGACTGGTCATTGTCGGTCCGCAAGCGGGAGCAAATGCGGCTGGACAGCAAGATGGCGGCCAGCGGCAAGAAGCGGCCGTTCCATGAGGATGGCATGGAGGACGAGGAAGAGAATTTTGACGAAGACCGCGCTGAGATGAGCGGTACGGCTGTGCCTGAGTGGGTGGTTGCTCAGATTGGTGATGGCTTTTCCACGGCAGGTATCCTGGAGGTGGTTGAGCACCTCAAGTCCGATATCAACCAGGGCCGTCTGCAGCAGATCCCCGACATTGAGATCTTGCCCAACATTGTCACCGATAGCAACAGTGACGAGCCGGCCTCCAATAACACGGCCAAGAAGACCTACACCAAGCGGCGAACGGCTTCCTCGTCTGGTTTTGCTGCCGGTGGCCATCGCCGTTCTCAGTCTGTCAATACGTCCGCGCTCCGGTCCGACTCGATTCCCATGGCCCGCCGCAGCAGCCAGCCCAACAACCACCTGGCAGCCTCAGGCCGTTCGTTCGCTTCCGAGTACCATCACCTGCAGCCTCCCATGGAGAAACGCCAGCGTATTGACGGTGAAGGCGTGCTGGGAATGAGTCACCAGCATCAGCAACATCATAGCCTAGGTGGCATGTCGGATCGCTTTGAACACCCCATGGCAGCGCGTTCCAGTTTCAACAGCCGTGTGCAGCTCGCCCATCGCCCGGCATTCACCGGCATCCGTGAGAGCCATGCTGAGAGTCATGCCGAGAGCCATATTGAAAGCCAAGCCAGCTACTATGACCATCAGCACCAGCGGTATGGCGACAATGCCGGCGACTTTTATGCGCATCAACGGCCCATTCCTGAGTCGACAACTTCGCACGGTGACTATAGAACTGATCACCGCTCTTCCCATGACTTTGAGGTGCGCCGTGAGCATGAGCGTCATCACAGCACACCTGGCGGGTCTGGCCAGACCGATGCTGCATATAGCGTTCTTCCCGCACCCAACCCTCAGCGGTTCGGCAGCATGCCGGTTGCACAACAGCTGGAGTCGCAGCAGTACATTTTGAACTCGACCTCGGCTGCCGCGCGTCGGCCTAATGTGCACCAGCGGTCGCAGTCCGAGGCGGGCTTCATGCACCACTCATCGTCGCACTTTGAACGACCGACCTCATCTGGTAGCAATGCGCTGCCGCCTCTCCAGTTCAACGCCCCATCGCGATTCACTACCGATTGCCTCACTGGCACCAATAAAAACGGCTGTCGCCACGCAGAAGAGATGCCCAGGGCGACTGACTACCCACCCTATGCCACGCACCAGAGTCATGCAAGCTACGGCGGCCAGCAGGCCATCAACGCAAGTTCTCACCGTGTCAATTACGGTCACGCCCACAGCCACAGCATGAACCATGGCCCCGCTCATGGTCATCATCACCAACACGCCCACAGCTACAGTACAAACCAGCAAGAGCACAGCAGCAGTCAATACGTTTACAACTCGTCCAATCGGTATTTGGAGGATGGGCGCAACACCCAGCAGCAACAATACCAGCCAGCCCAACCCCAGCCACCTGCACATACCACTGCCCCTGCTTATGATCCCGCTGTGGCTCCCACTCAGCCTTTGGATAAGTTTGAGGGTGTGCGGTTGGCGCCTATTCAAGATCTTGTTCAGTCGCTGAACCCGCCGGTTACAACTAAGGCGACGCTCGCCATGCAGCACACGCCCACTCCAGGCAGTGATGCCGTTCAGACTCCGATTTCGGCTCCTGGTGCCACCCCCAAGCCTGGTCCGGCAGAAGGCGCCGATCGTACCCTGCAGTCGCAGTCGTCTGACGCCGACTATCTTGGCCACCCGCGCCAAGATAAGTCATCAGCTGTGTCACGCCCGCTGGCACTGACCAAGGAGACCACCAGCGTTGCGATGCCTGCTACATACACTCGCCCCATCAGCCCCGTGGCCCATTCAATCTCGCCCGTTCCGCAAGCACAGGCGCAGGGTACCTGCTAGTTGTCTGTCCTGTGTCATTCGTGATCTTAGCGGTGTTTTTTGCTTCTTTTTTTTTCTCGTTATCATCATGTTATTCTAGATGTACGGTCTATCTACCTGCGTTGTATCCTCTTCTTGATTCATACGTTGGTTTTCATGTGTTTTACGTCATCTTTTTATCTTGTCTGTTTTCCTTACTCGTTCTTCAAAAAGGTTGCGGTCGTTGCGTCTTGTCATTTTCTGAATGTTTTATTGCGAAAAAGGAATGCCATAATGGATTTTTTACCGAAAAATGGAGCGGTATGTTTTGCCTTTTCTTTTGTTCTTACAAAAGTCAGCCCCCTTATCCACACATCAAGAAAGGGTCGGGGTTCCAGACAAAATAGGAATGGGTGGACACCTTGGGCTGGGCTCGGCTGGTTCATTACCATTTTTTGTCTTTATCATTGTTTTATTTTACAAGGACCGGATATTTCCTTTTTTATTTGCGTAGGACTTTGATTTTGTTACCGCTAGTTTGGTTGACTGGATTAACCATACCACGAATTTCCTTATACATCACCTCTACCAAGTACTTCTTCATGAGCTAAGATGGGCTTTTTGACTTGGGCCCCGATACCACGAACGATGATTTTACTTTTTTTTCCAAATTTATGCTGTTTTACTACATTTTGGATTTTGTGATGTGAAATATTGTGTTTAGAACGGTCAGTTTTGATATGTCCTATCATGATCGACGTGTGCTGTGAATTTGTTGCCTGTACTCCGTAGTGTGACATGTATTAAGTCTCCTTCCTATGGAAGCATGCTTTAGTTTTTATGTGTCAACGAGCAGTGACATATGATATGCACTTTGACTTCTTGAGCCAAATTCTCTACGCGCTGTCCTACGTCCATCCTCGGACTGCTTTTATTTTTATTTATTTCCACACGTGTGAAAAAAAGTGAAGGGGAAAAGATCTTTGAGATATAAAAGATACATCCGTCCTAAATAAGGGAAACTTCTCCATACAATATCTAATATTTCGTTATTATTAAAACTTAACAACTATGTCAATATAAACATGAAATATACATATATTTGTATATAATCGATACCTAGCAACTTGTCACTGTGAAAAAAGCTAAATCCAACGTGCTTTCTCAGCAAGCCGGCTTGTTGAGAACCGGAAACAGAACGGTACAGATGAGATGGCGTGAGATGGTGGTCAAGACAGTGGCATGGGAACAAGATCTCCTACTCCGGTTTTGGCCCTCTTGGTGCTCACTCCGTAATATTCCATAGTGGTGGCATCACACCCTACCAAACGGCGGCGTTCCGTTAACGGGTTCAAAAAACCTGGAAATAAACGTCAGACGCTCTGGTTCGTTCTTAAGAGCGTAAGAGATCAAAGGTAGTATATTGCGAGTGGTGGAGAAACTCGATGGAGGCTGTCTTCACTGACGAGTCTTTTTACACAAAGTGTGCTCCAATGAGGCGTTGTTGAATCATGATACTTGAAATACAGCCAAAATGAAAAATAGAAGACGCGTTCAGGTTCAGGTTCAAGAGGAACCGCGTCCTAGAAGTCACCCGTGCCCGCGCCTGAGAGCCACGCAATGTGAGAGCCAACCCAGCCCGAAAGTGTCAGTCCCTCCAGCTGTTAATGCGACGTATTACGTCGTGCTTACAGTAAGTAAGATCGGCCTCTGTCCTCAGCAAGTTTCCATTGCACCTTTTTGTTGTTCTTGGCTTATGATCCCGGCCATTTTGGCCGTCTGCAGTAAGCATCGGCCTCAGATGGCCCCCAGTACGCTTCCGTTGCATCGTTGTTGCTCCAGTTGGAGTTTTTGGGTTATGATTCCGGCCTTTTAGGTCGTCCGGTCGTACGGCATAGCTTTCCGGTTCTCCATCGTCCAATGCAGCGCGGTCCTCCCTCCTTTGGCACGCACTGAACGCATCCTGTCCCTCGCACTTTATTGTCACAGTGAGCCAAGTTTGCTTGTGAACACTCAATAGCAAATACAAAACTTTATATCTTATCCATTAGTCCACAGCATTTTGAATGTAAATCGTATAGATGGCAAGATTTGAACTTATATGGTATTCAAGCCATTCTGGCCTCGGCAGTCTGTGTTAAATCTAAACGTCGCAATATTCCTGAAGCGCCCCGAGACGACTTGAACGATCGGGGGCTGTCTTGGATTCTGCTCCTTGAGGGCGATCATCGGTATGGAGCAGCGGGTAAGCTGCTCAGTAGCACGGCTCGGTGCGCGGCAAATGGAGTCGCTTTGGCCTCCCTTTAGGTTGCAATTGGGGAGACATGCAGGGGCCTCTGTCAAGTCTTGGCTCCAACATGCTGCATGATGCTTGACCCCCGTCATGGTCAGGCCTAGTGGACTTACCCAGTAGCTTACGACATGCGAAAGGGAGGTCTGCTGGCTGGTTTTGGCGCCGTTTGAACCGTTTCCAATGGCACCCACGTCCAGCGTTCATGTACTGCGCTACTGCGTGAGTTTCATTTTCCTGTCAGGTTGCACGGTGGCTTTTTGCTTCCGTTGTTTGGAGGTTTCGTTACCTTTTATTATCCGAGCTGGCCCCTGCGGCTTTGATTCCATTTCGTCTAGAATGCAAACGCAATGTTTCTCATACTTTTTTCTTTCTCTTTTGTCTTCGCTGTCGCTCTGCGTGTCCCCTGATCTTGACGCCTTTTTTTTTGTCGCGGACCAAACAGAGCAGTTGGTATTTGGATATCCGATTCACGCGATTTCCTGTTTTGAGTTGTTAGTCGACGTTAGAGACCTGGGATAGCCGGCAACAAAAACTATCATGGCCTCCAAAGTCCTTCCGCTGGTTGGCGCCGCCGTTACCATTTTGGCCTTGTCGATCGTCAACGGTTTGCGATCCAATCTCCGCAAGGCCCGCAAGACTCGCATTCCATATGTTATTGTGCGTAAGTATCATGCGATGCTGCACAACTCGATGCCATACAGCGTTCGACTCCAAGACACTTGACCTCCGAGATTGACACCATCGCACAGCATGCTCGCCATACACCGCGATGTGGCGGCTTACCTTTCAGGTCTGGGTCTTCTTCATCAAGCTCTTGCCCAAAAGCATGTGGGAGGGATGGCTGTTCATCATGCTCCCCGACTGGGGCTACAGCACCGGCCAAGAGCACTTTGCTCGCCTCGGGGACACCTTCTTGGTCGTTGCCCCCTTCTACATGAATCTGTACACCCAGAGCCCCGCTGCCATCCACGAGATCGCCTCGCGCCGCGAACATTTCCCCAAGGCCACGAAAAATTACCGCATCCTCGAGATATTTGGCCGCAACGTCCTGACCACAGAGGGCGCCGTCTGGCGCTTCCACCGCAAGGCCACCAGCGCCTCCTTTAACGAGAAGAACGCCGCCCACACCTTTGCCGAGGCCATCCACCAGGCCCAGGGCCTCGTCGCCAAGTGGAACGACACCGCCCAGAGTGACTCGCCCACTATCATGACCATCGAAAAGGACACCATGACCTTGGCTCTCAACATTATCGGCTATGTCGGCTTCGGCCTCCGCTTCACCTGGCCGGGCCAGGCCCTGCCGGCCGACACCCACCCGCGCATGCGCAAGTACGGAAGCCAGGAGCCACCGTCGGGCCACACCATGACATTTGCCGCGTCAGTCGAAGGCGCTCTGCACAACATCATCATGCTGCTCTTGATGCCCGCGCCGCTGCTCAAGTTTCTGTCGCTGTTCTTGGCGAGGGCGCACACGGCCTTGCACTCGTATGTCAACTATGTGCAGTACATGAACGAATTTCTAGTCGACAAGGTGGCCAGCGCAAAGGAAGACGCCGAAAAGGGTATACGTGCCGGCGACATGGGTATGGACATCATGGGCCAGTTGGTGCGTGGTCGGTACAACGACGAGGTGGAGGAGGACAAAACCACGAAAAAGGCGAGATCGGCGGACAAAGCGTTGGCAGAGTCCACCCTCACCGACGACGAGATCATCGGCAACGCCTTCATTATGCTGGTCGCTGGCCACGAGACTACCGCCAACTCGCTGCACTTTGCTCTGCTCGAGCTCGCCACCAACCCGGCCAGCCAGCGTGCCCTGCAGGCCGACGTGGACCGCTTGCTGGGCCGTGACTCCGACCCCAGCACTTGGGACTACGAAGCCAGCATCAACGGCATGCTGGCCTCCATGCTTGGCGCCGCCATGAACGAGACGCTTCGCCTTATGCCGCCCGTCATCAATCTGCCCAAATTGGTCACGCCCACCGCCGATCAGCCGCTCGCCCTCCCGGAGACTGGCCAAACACACATCCTGCCCGCTGGCTGCGACGTTATTTTGAGCGCCGTCACCGTTCAGCGCCACCCCAAGTACTGGCCTGCCTTGTCGCCCGCCGATCTCGACATGTTCCGGCCCGCGCGGTGGTTTGAAAAGGACGCCGAGGCGGCGGCCGTGAAAGCAAAGGACGCAAAGCTTGCCGATATTGTCGGCGCCGACACCGAGGACTATGGAGGGTTCAGCGGGCCTGACACAAGCGCGCAGCTGTTCCGCCCTGTGCGTGGAAGCTTCGTACCCTTCTCCGACGGCCCTCGCAGCTGCTTGGGCCGCCGCATCGCGCAGGTCGAGATGCTCGCGGCTCTGGCCGTGCTGTTTCAGCGCTACAGCATTGAGCTGGCCGTCGACGATTGGGCCGACGATAAACAAGTTGCCGCCATGGACGACGAGGCCCGTCGGGAGTTGTACAGCAAGGCCCAGGCGCGGTGCCGGGCCACATTGCGGAGCGCCATATCGATCTTGACCCTCAAGCTGCATGGCAAATCCGCTGTGCCTGTGCGGCTGGTGCCGCGGGGCCAAGAGCGGTTTGTGCATTGCGTGGATGCAAGAACGAGGTAGTGTGCGGGCGGCAGTCTGGGGGTGTCTTTGCGTGAGCCTGGTTAGCTGCAACGGTACCGCGTGTGCGGCTGCGTGCGGCGCATGCAGCGTTATGAGCACGGGCTTCAAATAATAATCACGAAATTGCATGTCTAAAATGTGAATAACCCAATGCACCTCAGAAAGAAGAAACGAAAAACCGTGGAAACGTGGAAACGTGGAGGCCAGGCGAGCCAGACTCTTCTCTCTTGGAGATGCTCAGCTTGTTTTCGACGTACCTGATTGCCGCGAAGTTAAACACGATGAAGACTGATGCTCACGCGGATACAACACGCCGCGTGTTGAGCGGGACGCGACCTATGACACCTGATAGGCCAACTGGCGACGATCACAGACCTAGTAGGATCGCCTCCGGTCGTCGTGGAAGAAGATGATAATTTCCTGGAAACCCCCCCTTTTCTTCGTTCTCCCTCGCTCTTTCCTTCTTTCCGTGGCATCTATGTCTGCACTAAACATGTATGAGGCAACTGCTATGGGAGGTTCAAAAGACAGAAGGTGCGATCCACAAGTAACAGCTGCCTGCGACCCGTATTACATCTTAGAGGCATAAATGGGTATTCGACTTGGAAAATAAAACGAAAAAGGCAACCAGTGCCTAGTGAAGGCCAGCTACTCGGTGTGTTTCCAAATGAACTTTGCAAAGTCGTTCCTGCTTGGTTTTGCGACAGTTGTCACCATAGGAAGGCGCGAGTGACAGCCATGCATTGCTGAAGAAACGGGGAGCCTGAGGAACAAAGGCTTGTTGCACTTCCGCACTAATGGAGAGGTCGCCATCGTGCTTTCCCTCCGTCGACAAAATCCCATAACAATATGCCACAGGGCGCGTTTTCGTCATCACTCTTTCCCTCTTCCATCCCATCTTTCATCAATCGGTCCTGCCGTTTCTGTACGACTGAAAGCTTCCATACGAATTCGCCCATCTCTTCCAACAACAGGTACGTGCACTGGTCGGTATCCCACATGGTTCCCACCTTCCTTCCCTCTGGACCCTCTTGTTCGTCGCATTTCATCATCGCACTCAAAAGAACCAAGCTCCGCCGACCGTTGCTTCCTGCCCACTCTTATTTCCTTCCCGCACACCAGATCGCGTCCCAAGGAGAATATTCCCGTCCACGCTTTCCCTGGTTCTCCTCCCTTTACGGAACCAAAGTGGGCCCCGGTTCATTGATTGACTTGCTGATTTGCGCGCCCGCATTTCTTCGCTCTTTCCCTTTTGTATTACCACCCAGCCACTCGCCTTCCCCCAAACTCTCGTTGGCTAACACGCGACGCTGCCAGAAAAAAAAACATAAACAAACCAACCCACCCGCGCCCGCCCCCAGTACCTGCCGCCCCCCCCCGTCTTGTTATCCTGTCGCACACCCGCAGCAACACAATATCTTCATAACTCCAAATTCACCACATATCGCGCCTTTGCCACACAAACCGCATCGCCACCTGCAATCCGCAAAATACAGACGACAAAGTCAAACGTCAAAGTCTTGCGCATCAGATTCCTCTCACCGCCCACTCATATCCAACCCGCATATTTTATTCACAATGACGTCCTGGTTGCGTGCGCAAAAGAAGTCCGACCTCGTCGACATCGCCGAGACGGTTGGGCTGAAAAAGTGAGTTCCATTTTATTTCTGTTGCTACTGTTGGGCGACGATTTCCGTGGCATCGATTTGTTTACTTTGGCGTCGTTTTGGGCCGCGCCGCGCGTCGGCTTCGCTCTTGCGATCGCGAACTGTCGCTTTAATTTGCATCGCATGCGAATTGTCGCAATGCGGAAAAGAGGAGACGGAGACATAAAACAAAGAATCTCAGAAAGAAACAAAATACAGCTGAGGAAAGCAACGCGCGAACGAGCGCGTCTCGTTCGCCGTGCGCCCAATGCTCTAGATGTCTGATACCCAGCATCCTTCTCCAAGAAATAACCATGACTGACCTGGCTCTCTGTCTTTTCTTTCTTTCCCGTTCGCAGTGTCTCAAGCTTGAAGAAGAGTGACCTGGAGTCCGCCCTGGACGAGTACCTCACCGAGAACGCGTCGCACCTCTCGTCGGACCCCAGACTTGCTCCCTACTTCAACATCCGCTCCAAGACCATCGGCTCGCCCGTCAAGCGCGAATCATCCGAAGTCAAGGTGACCAAGCGTCGCCAGCCCAAGTCTGCGCAGGAAGAGTCTACATCGGCTGCCGCTGAGGATGACGACTCCATCCGTGGCCGGTCCACCGCTCTGATCCGCACCCCGGGCCGTGCCCTGTCGCTGGCTGCCAGCCGTATCGCGCTGCCCGCCTCGCCCGCGGATGTTGCGCAGGCCGTTGACCGCAGCGCGCTCGCCGTGCGTGAGCGCGTCGTCTCGATTTACGCCGACTCGGGTATCACCGAGGTGACCCAGGCCACGCGCGAGTCGCTGTCGACTGTCTACGCCATTGCCCTGCTCGTGTCCGCCTTTGAGTGGTTCCACCTGCGCGCCGAGGTCCTGCCCGTGCGCTACGCTTTCTCCATCCCCGCCATCCGCTTCCTCGGCACCAGCGCGTACCCGGTCTCGCTGCCCGACGTGTTTTTGCTGCTGACGGCGTCCTTCTGGTCGCCCGTGATCCTGTTCTTCCTCATCTCGATTGCCATCCCGTCGTTTGTCGGCTACTTCTTCAACCTGTCGGCCGCCAGCGGCAGCCACCACACCGGACGCGGCCGCTCCCGGCCGTTTTCGAACTCCGAGTACGCCGTGGACCCGCTGACGTTCAGCGTGGCCAAGGCCATTCTGGTCTACGTGATCCAGGCCCAGGGCGTCGACTTCTGCGGCTGGATCGACCAGCTGGCAGTAGCCCGCATCAACTCGGCCCTGTACGGTGGCTGGCAGGGCGCCATTGCCGGTGCCGCCGTCACTGGCCTCGCCAGCCTGTACGACGCTGTTCTGCGGAAATAGAGGAAATCAGGAGAGATTGCAGATGCACTCTCTGCAACCTCTCATGACGAAATACGACTACCAGTCCACCTTTCAACAGGGGGACACGAAGCAATTTTGGTTTGTTACCATCTCTGTGATTTGCTGGGCTCGTGCACATGAGTTCTTCTGGTTTTCTTTCTGGCTTTCTTGCCAGTTCTTTTTTCCGCCGTCCGCCGTCCGCTCTTCGCTCTTCGCTTCTTCGCTTTCTTCCGATTTGTGGGAATAATAATGATGGCAAACTCTAATGGCGTATGAGGCGTTTTGCGGCGTTGCGGCCCCTAGGCTCGCGCTGTTCGCCCGATACATCTTGCCTACCCACGCTGTCGCCCTTCTCTCTTCTCACCGGCGGTCCCTGCTGTCCATTGGCCGACGGCAATGAGTTTCGTGTACATTTTTCTTCCGAGACGAACGTATCTCGAAACACGGAGAGAGCCTCTCAGATCTTCTGTGGCTAGGGGTCACTCGTGGCTTTTTCGGTTCTTCTTTTGGCTTTTCTTGTTTATATTTGGTTGGGTTTGCTGTTTTGTTCTTCGTTTTTCTCATTCTTTCACGGTTTTCACGCCCCTTGTCTGTGTGGCTTACATGTTTGTGTGCTGCGTGGCAGGACCTGCTGGGTTGACTCCGGGGCTCTTTTGTGGGCTGTTCTGCTGCACGACGCGATGATTGTTCTTTGTTTCTGTGATACCGCGCGCTCGATATTTTTTTTTTTTGGTTTTCTATGGGACGAGAAGGCAGGAGATATGAAACATGGTTGCTGTGCTGCCCATTTGTTTGGATTTCCGGGCACATGAGGGAAAAGGGGTTATGTCTGGGACAGGATGAGATGGGTCATTTGGACAATGAACATGGGGTAGATGCCTCTGTTTGGAGGAACATGCTTGTTTCTATTTTTTTCTGGCTTTCTGATTTTATTCATTTTTGGTTCTTCGCTTTCTCTATTTTGGAATGGTTATGTTTCTGACGTTTTGAACAACACGAAAGCGACGTTGGTGCGACTTAAGCTTTACCACCCACCTAACGGGACCAGCACTAACACGACAAAACGTGGGCGGGAGAGCGGCACACAAGCGAAAGCCGTCGCTGACACATTTTAGTCAACCTTATCAGGCCCGCCCAACGCCGGTGTCAATTTAACTTGGCCTTGCTCTTCCTCGTTCAACGTACTTTTGCTCCCGCACTCAGCTTCGAGCCAGGACCTAATTGCTTCCATTGGAAAAATATCCGGAAGCCTTACCCGGAAGACATCACCGGATTTAGTTTCTCAGCCACACCCCCGACCCAATGGACGACCCCCTAGCGAGATTGGAGGGCCTCGCAGCCATAGACCACGAGATTGCCGATCTCGAGGCCCGTCTGCGCGATGCAAAACTGCGCCGGCAACAACAGCACGGGACATCCATACGATATTCGGATAGCTCTGCATCGCGGCACCAACAGCAGCAGCAACACTTTCTCTTTTTACTCTCCGACTCAGCGCTACCGCTCGGTTCGTTTGCCTTTAGCAGTGGACTCGAGTCGTTTCTCGCACACGACAAGGCGGCCGCAGCGGCATCGGCTGCCACGTCTCTCGCGGCTGCAGCCAATGCCATACCAAAGGGCGTAAAGAGCGGCCCCGAGGCCTTTGCCGCTTTTCTGCCATTGTCCGTCTCATCCTACGCCTACGCCACTTTGCCGTTTGTCCTGGCTGCGCATGACGCTGCATCTACGGTGACGAGCGCTGCCGCAGTCGCAGCCGCAGCTGCTTCGTCCCATTTCTCAGAGACTTTCCCATCGACGGTCGAAGCTTTCACCTCGGCACTCACCCTTCTCGACGACACATATGACGCCACCATCATCTGCGCCGTCGGCCGCCGCGCCTCGGTAGCCCAAGGCCGTGCACTGCTGTCTGTCTGGGAACGTGCTTTTTCGCCAACCCTTTCACCATCGCTAGCACCGCCTTCACCGTCTTCACCGTCCTCACAGGCCTCACAGGCCGCACAGTCCGAACAAGCCATCGACCCCTTGCGGCCGTTTGCGCTTCTCGTCAAGCGCTCCTCCAATCCACGGCCCGGTACCCTATCCGAGGCATCTGCCCACATGCCTCCGCTCTTTGGTGCCGTTGCCGCGTTGGCCGGCCTCGACCGCCGACAGGCCGCCGACGTATTTATCCTGTCGCATGTCAAGGCACTCTTATCGGCCGCAGTGCGCGCCAACCTGGTGGGACCGTACCAGGCGCAGCGACTGCTAGCGTCGGCGCATGTGCAGCAACTTGTTGTGCGGTCCGTCGAAGGCGCATGGGATGTGCCCGTGGAAGAGGCCGGACAGACGATGCCGGTGGTAGACCTGTGGATGGGCCGACATGAGATGCTGTACTCGCGCATCTTCAACAGCTAAAGGCTAATGTCGGAGGCGAAACGGGTCGCATGTTTTATGGGCAATTTTTGATTTTGTATAATAATTAGCTGCCCTCTGTAACAGTCTAACGAGCATGAGTTAACATGATCACTACTTTGTATCATATTCTGTCCTACGAATTAGAAAAGCGCGCGAACCTGGCGTGTAGCGCATTTTAGCGGCTTCCACACCAGGCTGTGTTCCTTTCACGCGCAGTGGGCGGCGCCTGCCAGAAAAACCCAATCTATTTCGAAAGAGGCCCCACCACCCCGCAAAAAGTTTATGAACTTCATTCGCAGCCACGGGCCATTGAAACCTCCGAAACGGACGACAATCACAACAAGGGACGAGTACTTTCACCTCGCATCTGACGACGACCTCCCACACGATCAATCGAACCTCTCTCCGCAAGCGACTTGACTTCCAGACCACCCCGACCAGACTACCCAACATCTACATTGCGCGCAGCGAGCGGCTGCACCCCCGCCGCCAAGATGGTGAACATCACCGAGAAGATCAAGGAGTACGTCATACACAGTCCCATTTCTGCAGCGTACCTTACCTGATTGGGTGTATCAACGGGCGAACTTTTCATATACTGACTGCGGCGCTAGGATTGAGGATGAGATGCGGAAGACGCAGAGTAAGGACCGCACCAGGATCGGCAGAGCGAGGGCGATGGATAGCTACAAGAGAACACGCGACTGATGCGACCTTTCCCACCTACAGAGAACAAAGCCACAGAATATCATCTTGGTCTATTAAAAGGGTAGGTTTCGAGGACGTCCAGAGGGGCCACTGTTGGAACATGAAAGCGAGCGGGTGGACCAGGACCACGAACGCTGACATGCCGCCAGAAAGCTCGCCCGTCTTCGTGCGCAGCTGTTGGAGCCCGGCCCAGGCTCAGGAGGTGGACCGGGTGCGGGTTTCGACGTCAGCAAAAGCGGCGACGCGCGTATAGCATTGGTCGGCTTCCCATCGGTGGGCAAGTCGACGTTCCTGTCCAAGGTCACCAAGACGCGGTCCGAGGTGGCGGCGTACGCATTCACAACGCTGACGGCCATCCCGGGCGTGCTCGAGTACGGCGGTGCCGAGATCCAGCTGCTTGATCTGCCGGGAATCATTGAGGGTGCCGCCGAGGGCAAGGGCCGTGGCCGGCAGGTGATCTCGGCCGCCAAGACAAGCGACTTGATCCTGATGGTGCTGGACGCGACCAAGAAGCAGGAGCAGCGCGCGCTGCTCGAGGCAGAGCTCGAGGCTGTTGGCATCCGGCTCAACTGCGAGCCGCCCAACATTTACCTCAAGCCCAAAAAGGCCGGTGGCGTCAAGATTACGTTCCAGTCACCGCCCAAGAACCTGGACGAGAAGATGGTATTCAACATCTTGCGCGACTACAAGATGCTCAACGCCGAGGTGCTGATTCGCGACGAGAACGCAACGGTCGACGACTTTATCGACGTGATTATGAAGGACCACCGCAAGTACATCCGGTGTCTGTACGTCTACAACAAGATTGACAGCGTTTCGCTCGAGTTCCTGGACCAGTTGGCCCGCGAGCCGTACACGGCGGTGATGAGCTGTGAGCTCGATCTGGGTATCCAGGCGGTGGTGGAGCGGTGCTGGCAGGAGCTGCGGCTGATCCGCATCTACACGAAGCGCAAGGGCGTGGACCCCAACTTTTCCGAGGCGCTGATTGTGCGGTCCAACAGCACAATCGAAGACGTGTGCGACCGCATCCACCGAACGCTCAAAGATACCTTCAAGTACGCCCTGGTGTGGGGAGCGAGCGCGCGCCATGTGCCGCAGCGGGTCGGCCTGGGCCACCTAGTGTCGGACGAGGACGTGGTGTACATTGTGAGTGGCTGGAAGGCATAAACGGCGTGGTCGAGCGGTAGACAGGGCTGTACATAATGTTAGGAACATTTGAAATATCCATGTTTCGTGCCACTTGTGCTTGCTAGGTGGTTGCATAAATCATTCTGGTGTTTTTTGTGTGCGTAAAACGACAGAGAAGCATGACAATGACAAAGAAAACGGTATAAAGAAAGTAAGTTGACATTTCCCAAACGGCCAAAACGGTAAACAAAATAAAACGGTAAAGGAAACTCCATGGCCGATAGCACAACGCCAAAATGCCCAGTCAAAAAAAAAGGCAGAGAAGCCAAAACGCAGAAAGCCAAAAACAACGAAGCCGGGCCCACATCTCGTCGCTCTCGGCCTCTCGGTCTCAAAATCAGTAACGTGTCAAGAGGAATAAGACGGCCTGGCCACGGCGAGACTGCCAAGTATGTGATAATAATAGGCGTATAGTTGAAAACGAATGCAGACAATGTGGGCCGACGAATAGGGTCCAAGGCAAACTGGAACATCGAGCATCTGTCTACTCGGAGTCAAACGGCGAGCTGCTCGAGCTGCTGCCGCCCTCCATCATCTTACGCGCAGATGCTTGGGCGAACAGGGACTTGGGCTTGGCCTTGACAGCCTGCTTCGTGCGCAGGGCCTTGAGCTTCGCCGTGCAGGGGCTCATGATGTTGTCGGACGGCGAAACGTATTGCTTGGGGCTTTTGAAACATAGGGTTAGTGCTGGGAAGAAAACACGAGGCTGGAAACGACAATGACGCACCCCTCGGCTTGCATCTTGGACTGCAGTACCTGGCGGTGGTACTCCATGCTCCTGATGTCCTTGCCGCCGTCCGTGTTGCCGGCATTGGCCGTGATGGCAGCGTTCACGTCCTTGTCGCCGAGGGCAGACTTGACTGCCGGTGCCGGTGCAAAGTCCATTACGACTGTGAGAGAGCTGCGTCTGTAGCAGGAGGGACTGGCGAATTCGAGAGAAATTGAGGATTCTTGAGAATTCAACAAATCGAGAGAGGTCGACGGAAGGGCGAGGTAATGCGCGGTGCGTGCGAGTGTGAACGACTGAATGTTGGATGTGTCGTGACAAAAATATGGAGGGAAGCCGATTTTAAGTCTGAAGGGAACAAAAAAAAAGTGTACGGGTTTGGAAACAAAAATGATGAAATAGTAGAAAACCGACAAAACGAAACAGAGAACGGAAAAAGACAGTCGGCGGGGCTTCTTTCGCTGGGCAGGCGTGCATTTCTTCATGCAAGGCCTTTGCTCCTTCTTCACCGATCTGTTTCGGGCGCTGCACGGGGCAGGAACGTGGATCGGGGAAGGAAGGCGCCACCTGGCCAGCAAAGCCACCAAATTGTTAGGCGTCGCTGGGCTATGGCGGTGCGACTTTCGGTACGGCCTGACGACAAAAAAGCATGAGTAAAATATGAGTCGTCGGATAAACAGAGAAGGTGCGGGTTGGCGTGGCAACGCCTGGCAGGTGGCATCGGCTGGTATGGATGTGGAGACCCACCTGCCACCGCCATGCTGTTGCGCACAGCTGCAGGTCCCAAAAGGGAAGGACCACTAAGCACCAATGCATATCTCGCAGCGGCCGTGTTCTGCGACTTGTTGATTTTGTACTGCGACATTTATGGGGCCTGGCCAAACGGACTGCGAGGACGGCATGGATTATGGTCCTGTCATCTTGTTGCCACCGACCGTCGCTGGCACATGTTCTCCTGGACGAAGAAGGAAGACGGGGCGTGCTGGATATCACCACAGGAACGCGACGGCGACATTTGACACGTCAGGGCTACGTGTATCGTGATCGTAAAGCGTATTGTGATTGTAATACATCGGAGGGTTTAATCGATAGGGTACAATATTATGCAATTTTTATTAATGTTGTCATGCGATCGCCTATACCAGTCGTAGACCACCGCTCGGCCATTCTATTTTGTACAATCTGACACGAAACCATAGAGAGTATCGTACGCTTGTTCACCACCCATCTCCTGCACCGTTTACAGACGCGAGCTGGTCCGGTGCTGGATGCGCGTGCCGGGTTCGACCTTGGTCAGGCCGCGCTGCTTGAGCATCTCGGCGGCCTTGGCTTGCTGCCTCTTAATCTGCTGCGCGACGGCCTCGCCGCGCTTGTTCTCGTTGCGGCCCATCTGCGCCAGGTGCACCTCGTCGGGGCCGTCCGCCAGCCGCAGCGTGCGGATGTTGGCCCACATGCCCGCCAGCGGCGTGTCCTGGCTGACACCAGCACCGCCAAAGGCCTGCACGGCGCGGTCAATGACCGTCAGCGCCATGTTGGGCACCATGACCTTGGCCTCGGCAATCTGCGACAGCGCCGCCTTGGGGCCCTGCTCGTCCATGGTAATCGCGGCGTTGAGCACCAGCATACGCGACGCGTCAATCTCGATGCGTGACCGCGCCACCCACTCCAGAATCACGCCGTGCTCGCGCAGCCGCTTGCCAAAGGGCGTCTTCTGCGGGTCGTTGATGCGCATGAGCATCCAGTCGAGCGCACGCTCCGCGGCGCCGATTGTGCGCATCGCGTGGTGGATGCGGCCAGGGCCCAGACGGCCCTGGATGATCTCGAAGCCGCGTCCCTCGCCGAGCACCACGTTGCTGGCGGGCACACGGACGTTGTTGAACGTCAGGTGGCCGTGGCCGTGCGGCGCATCGTCAAAGCCGTAGACATTGAGCATGCGGTGGACGGTAATGCCGGGGGTGTTGGCGGGCACCAGGACGACCGACTGCTGGCGGTAGGGGTCCTTGTTGGCGCCGTCCGTCTTGCCCATGACAATGTAGATGGCGCAGCGCGGGTCGCCGGCGCCGCTCGACCACCACTTCTGGCCGTTGAGCACGTACTCGCTGCCCTCGCGGCGGATCTCCATCTTGATGTTGCGCGCATCCGACGACGCCACCTGGGGCTCTGTCATGAGGAAGGCCGACCGGATCTTGCCCTCCATCAGCGGCCGCAGCCACTGCTCCTTCTGGGCGTCGTTGCCGTAGCGGGCCAACACCTCCATGTTGCCGGTGTCGGGGGCGGCGCAGTTGCACGCCTCGGAGGCGGTGCGCGAGCGGCCCATCCATTCTGCCATCAGGCCATACTCGAGGTTGGAGAAGCCGGGGCTCTCCTTGTAGTGGGCCTTGGGCAGGAACAGGTTCCACAGGCCGAGCTTCTGTGCTTTCTCCTTGAGCTCCTCGATAATCTGCGGGTGGCCCTCCCAGCGGGCGTCACCGAAGCCGACCTGTGCATCAAAGACAGCATCGGCGCTGTGCTGTTAGTGTGCGTCCTCGTCTCTCAGCACGTCTCAGTGTTTCTCCGTCGGTCTGGTACCGGGGGCCAACGGCTTACGGAATGCATTCCTCCTGCACAAACTTGGCAACAGTGTCCAGCGCTTGCTTCGCCTTGTCGGAGACGCGGTTGGCAGCCTAACAGGAGAGCCAAAGTGTTAGCATCGTGGTTTCGAAAATCGAGTTCCGAAGCCTCGGCAGTCGGCGTTCGGAGGGCTACGGTACTCACAATGGTCGGAATTTTGGCGGACATGGTGAAGGATGTGTGATGCAAGATAAGGAAAGGAAGATGTGAATGGGATGATTGGGAGGAACAAACAGACAGGACAGGACAGGCCAGGGAGGGAGGAGGGAACAATAAAAAAGAGGAAGAGGGCGAGAATAGAACAATTAAAGAAAGACGAAGGGAGGTCAGGTCGACGTCAGTTCCAGACAGGAACCGCGGCCTCGTCCAAGCCAAGCAAGAGGAGCAAGAGCCCCTGCACAATTGTACTAAATCCCCGCTTCGGCCCACTGAGGTGCAGTGTCACTTTTGGAGCATCGCCAGATCTCTTAGCGTTTACTAGCGAGAATGGGCACAGTTGGCTGTCGCTGCCGAGGTCCAGCCCGGAGAGAGGTGTGGGGTTTTGGCACCTTTTTGGGGTCGAACGCGATGACACCGTATTAATGGGTACCAACTAGGAACGCCTAAACTCACCGTACACTTTAACACCCAATTTCTCTCGCGCCAAACCAAACTGACACTTCACTTGACCATAAAGCATCAATCAAGGACAAATTCAAAACGAAGGAATATAGCTAAATAGGAATCAATCGGCTATATTTCTTCCCAGTACGCCGTCTGATCATACTTAACTATGGTACTTCGTCGCCGTTTTACGATTCAAATAGAACATCTAGAAAAAAGACTGCAGCTTCCAAAGTCAAATTGGCGGCTATTTGCACTGCTGCGGCGCAAATTGTGGCTTCAATCTATGTCGTCAGCCACAAATTGTAACCGCCAACCTTTGTCACGGGACCTGGTTCCTGGGTTGGATGGCAAGGCCTGGCCTGGCCGCCTAGGCTCCATTCATGCCAATGGCTGAATGGAGCAACACGCACGTCCAATGCTTTGAAAGCCCAGCAAGGCGTCGCGTCTTTCAATGTACCTGTGCCCCTTGCGAAAAGCTCGTTGCCAAAAACGCACTTTCGTCACGACCTTTTGCGTGCCAACAATCGCAAACCGTCCTCCCTTTCTTCGCCGTCCGTCTACTGCTGCACAGGCACCTTTGTTGACACGCCCGTTTGCGACTTTCGGCGACTTCGTGCACCCAAATAAACCCGCCTTTCGCGCTTCAGCATCGCATCACGTCTCCGCCACACATCTACCACCGACAACATGACAGACTACGCCTCCCTTAAGGTCGACGAGCTGAAGAAGCTGCTGTCCGACCGCGGCCTGCCACTGAGCGGCAAGAAGGCCGACCTTGTCTCGCGTCTGCAGGAGAACGACGCCGCCGCCAGCAAGCCCGAGGCGAAGAGTACGTTGCAACGTGGAGACAGACATAGCGCGACAGGACGGCAGACTCAACTCCCAAAGCGACATAATACTGACATAGTCTCAACAGGCAACGAGGACGAGATTGACTGGGACGACGAGAAGCCCGCGGAGCCCGCACCGGCAGCCGCGGCCCCAGCTGCCGCCGCCTCCAAAGACGCTCCCGTCGCAGCGGCACCTGCACCTGCGCCGGCGGCCGCTCCCGCTGCTGCTGCTACTACCGAAGAGACCGCCGCTGCCGCCGAAGAGCCGGTTACCGCGCCGGCTGCTTCGACCATTGACATTGACGAGGAGCTGCGCCGTCGCGAGGCACGCGCCAAGCGCTTCGGTATCACCCCTGCCGCCGCCGACGAGACCAAGGCGGGCGAGGACGAGGACGAGGACGAGGACGCCAAGAAGGCGGCGGCACGTGCTGCACGGTTTGGCATCGACCCTGCCGCCGCTGCAAAAAACAAGGAGGTCGAAGATGCGAGAAAGACGATCCTGTCGAGCCTGGACACGGCGCTGCCTGACCGACCTCTGAAGCGCGGTCGTGGTGGCGGCGACGGCGATCGGAGAGACAAGAAGCGGTCGACGCCCGACCGGCGTCACGGCGGCAACCGCAACGATAACCGCAACAACAACAATAACAACAACAATAATAACAACAACAACAACCGCAATCGCAACATCGACCGGAGACACAACAACAGCAACGCCGGTGGCGGCAACCAGCGGGGCCAGAAGGGTCTTAACTTCCTTTCGGATCCAGCGGAGAAGAAGAAGGCCGAGGAGCGCGCAAAGCGGTTCGGCTTATAGTTGTATTCTTACCTTCCCCATTGGTCTTATTTCATCTCATATGTCTCTCTTCTCTCAACTTTCTCTCCAAGTGTCTTGTCTTTCTATCTACGTCTATTGTAGTTTTGGATCTGCGATGTCTGCTTTTTTATTTTATTTAATTGTTTCCATTGGTCATTTGCAAGAAACAGCGGTTATTGTGCCAGTCGGTGGAAGCTTAAGTAAAAAAGTATTTTTCCAAGCACAGCAGAAAATCTATTTCTCTTCAAAACGCGGTATTATTGTACCCGAGAGGCGACATGCCTCTTGTGGGTTGAGATGCAGCTGGGAAATGTGGTTTGCTAATTTAGAAAAGAATGTAAAATTGCATGTTTTGTACAGCGGCATGCAGACTTTTCTGCACGCTTTTGTTTGGCGAAAGGAACACAAATAACCTCACCTCCATGGAAACATATGGCCGTTTGAATAGAGCGTGATGCCGGAGCTGAGACTTATGCCGGTTGGTATTCGTCGCCAATTTGATTTCCGATTCTAAGCCCTACTTTGTACGATAATTGGGATTGGTATTTTTTAAAAATAATGATAATAATAATAAATAAATAAATAAGCTTTTATCCATCGAATATTCGTTTACTTATTTATAATTTTTAACAAAAAAAATTACTGACAAGGAGTTGGACCAAGGAAGTATGAAAAAGACACAGTTGATTTAGAGCATGATCTTCATTTCCTATAAATAAATACTTCACGCAGAGGGTATCTCTAAATAAGTCTCGCTAGACGGACCGTTCAAGGATAGGTCACGAAACAATTGTAAAAAAAAAAAAAAAAAAAAAAAAAAAAAAAAAAAAAAAAAAAAAAAAAAGGAATAAGAGGATAAGGATAAGGGTCAACCCAAGACTGGTTTTCGCCCACTGTGTTGCCTTCATCGCAAGAGAAAAGGAAAGGCACCGCCACAATGGTCCAGCATTGATTCAGAAAGCACACGACACAAAAAATCAAGGAACCGCAAATCAGACACGCTTGCTCGCAAACAATGAGGAAAAGCACATGAAAAACAAACAAACAAAGGCCAAAGGAGAGACAAGTGTGATAGGAAAAAAGGGCATTAAAGTTAGGTAGGGGCGGGTTTCATCGCTGCGCATCCCAATACATCCAAATATGCGAGAAAAGAATCCGAATATGTAAAAAACAGAGACCCTCTGAACCTCGTTGCGAGGCCCTGTGAAGCCAGAGAGGGGTTGCAAGCTGCCGTTCTGTATCAACCGGAAGCATTGCTTTATTTCTTTGATGAGCTGTTTCTTCTGAATGGTAAAAAAGTTATGCAGTCTGGAAATTCGAAGAGGAAATGACAAAGTATGCCAGAGGCTTGCGCCTAATGTGTGATTTAACTGTGTAAATGCCGTCCGCTGTTGTTGTGGAACATTGAGATGATAATATGAGAAACACAAAATGATAAAAAGAAAATTAATCATTGCAGTCGACTGGATGGCCTATTAGATGCTCGCCATACGCTTGATGTCGGGTACGCGGGCATAGCACACCATGAGCTTGAGGTTAGTCCCCCACCCCTCACACTCGGCCAACAGCGCGCGGTCCATCCACATGTCGCTGCTGCCCGTTGTGTTTGGCGCTGAACGTTGTGACGGTTCAAGAGCAGCATCGCCATAGCACCGGCTGTGCCACCAACGGCCCACCCGCGCGACCGTGTTCGTGATGTTCTCGTCGGCAACGGGGCTTTCGTCATTGATCATCTCGGCAAGGCTGCGCTGGTCCTTCGGGGGCTTGGCCGTCGTTCCGACCGGCGCATGCTTTGCATCGCCGTCAGCCACTAGGTCGCTCTTTGGCCGTTGAATGGTGCTGGCGACGGGGATCCCGACGCGGCAGGACTTGATGTCCGTAAAGCCCCGCTTGCCGAGAAGACGCACAATGGCGTCCGCAGCCGAGCCCAGATGCATATCTGGCGTGTGGCTGTGAACCTGCTCCTTGAGCCGGCGAATAGCACGTCGGGTGCGAGGCCCCATGTTGTTGAGATCAACATCCAGAATCGACAGCTCCAGGTAGCCGCCGGGCTTCAAGACGCGGCGAGCCTCGTTGACAATATTCTTGTAATAACTTTCAGGGCCGGCGTCCGGGAAGCGGAAAACAACGGTAGTGAAGAGCTCTGAGCCAAAAGGCAGTTTGTCCGCGTGGGACGTGTACTGGATCTGGTGGTGATTGGGCGGACTCAGGGGGAAGGCAGTGGCACCGGCTTTCTGGTCAACAGGCAGAGGCGCGCGCGGCGACAGGTTGAAAAATGTCGCTGCAGGGTACGTCTCGGCGGCATAAAACGACCAATCGTCGTTTCCGAGCCCGTCAATGACAAGCACAGAGTGGCCATTGGGAGGACTGGCAGCTTTGACCATATCGTCGCGGGCAGGACTGAAAAGCACGTGGCCAAATGTGAGCCATTTGCTGACCGTCATGGAACCTACTCGGAGGTTGACTTGAGAAATAGGTGAGTTGTCTTCGGAAACTTGACTGTAGACGCTGCTGTCCGAGACTCGTGTTTTGTTCTTGGAGCTCCTTTGAGAGGAGGCGCTGCTTCGCTGCGACGAGGCAACAGCTGGCTGTTTTTTTGCTAAAATGCCACTATTGTTCCGGTCTCCATACCCAGAAACAAAGTCGGTGACCGAGAAAGGCGTTGGGGGAGGCTGAGAAACAGTTGAGTCTCGTAGACTATTGGCCGATTGGTCCAAGAGCCTGGTCGGGCTGTTGACAGAGTAGATGCTTGAAGCAACTGGTGGTCGGCTTGTTTTGGCAATAGCAGTAGCAGTAGCATCGCCAGTGCTTCGCTTGGGGCGGAAGTTGGCAGCGATAGTAGGTGACCCGAGTGGAGCGACCATTCGTTGATCAAGTCGCTTGACCGTTCCCACGACGGTACCCGGCGGAGCTAGGAACTCTTTCATGGGCGACACTTCCAGATAGAAGGGCATGCCCTGAGAAGAGGTTGCAGACTGGGGTACCTTGCCTGCCTCCTCTCCAAGAAGATCATTGTATTCGTCCCAAATCTCGTCTTCGGCGAGCGGTGCGCTCGGATCCGGAACGACGGCAGTGGCATCAGCAAAGCTGAGAAGACCGGAGCTGCTTGTGCAAGACGTGGTTTGAGAATCCTTTCGGGTAGAGAGGCTAAAGAACTCGTTTCCTTGATCGATGGGCTCTGCATCTGGGGATAGATTTTGTGAAAGGCGAAAACGGAGAGTCGTGGGGTCTGCGGAGCTTCCCGTCGCAGTCGATCCATCTTGTAAGAGATCGGGTGTACTTGATTTGGGTGGGGAAGGACCCTTGGCGACGGAGTTTGTATCCAACGTGTTCAGCAGCGGGGCCAGCGATGAGGGATCTTGCATGCTTACGCGATTAAAGGGCCGTGAGAAGCTTTTTGGCGACGTTTGCTCGGGCCGTATGCTCACCACCTTAGGAATGCGTCCAACTTGTGGAAGCCTGCTTGGCCGGCCCTGGTATTGTGCAGGCGGCGGGGATATCGTGGTATTCTCACCCGCGTCTTGAGGCGTTGCTTCGAGAGGCACTTCTCGGACGACAGGGCCAGTTGGTGTTCGAGAAATCTGCAATCTTGTGTGAGGCTTCACGGGAGACTGTTCGTTATCTGATCGGTGTTGCTGGCGTTGTTGCTGCTGCTCTTGTGCTGATACTGCAGGCTCGGGAGGACGTTGTTGCTGTTCTTGCTGATGTTGCGACCTATGCGAAAGTGCAGGTGACGGAGGGGGTGGTGCCCGGGCACGCGTAGGCTGGAGCCGCGGCAGCTGCCCGGGCGGTCCGCCGGTTCCAAAGACTGTCTGCTCAATGGATGGACGTCTGTCTCGGCTGCCGAACTGAGCGGCCATAGTAGGGTTACCGAGAGCTCGCGCTTCGCGAAGAATGTCTTCGACATCCATATCGTAATCTTCCTGTTCGGACGAGTCGATCATGGCGTAGAACGCAACTGGTTTCTTCTTTTCAGCCGGTATAGTAGCGGCCTCCACGGTAACAGCCAAGGTTGAGGTTGACTGAAGAGCCTTTTTGGAAGTCGCCGGCTGGCTCTGAGAGCGGCCGAACAGGTTCCATTTGCGCGGTGATCGTGCCCGCTTTGTGAGTTTCTTGGTCACTGTCGGCGGCTTCTCGTTGGGACCTGAGGAGCCCTTGCGGCCGCGGCCAGTGCCGGCACCGGTATTGGGGCCGGCCTCCAATATAGAGTCGTCGGTCATGATGGACATGTCCGCGCTGGTCATGGACGATGGGACACCGCCGTTTTGTTGGTTTACAACAATGGGCCGTGGCACACGGACCTGTGCACGGTCAGGCGATCGTAGGCGTTGTACGGAACGGCGAAAGGCAAGAGTCGATTTCATCACGACTTCAGAGTCGCTGCTATCAGAAGGTCGACGACCGCCGTGAGAGTTGTCGTGGAAGCCAAAAGGGGAAGGGGACATTTGGCGCGATCCGCGAGGTATGGCCGAAGGCCAGAGAGACAGACGATCTTCGCGCGACGAGACCGAGTCGGCCCGCGAGTCGGTGCTTGGACGACGATACCCAGCAGGAGGAGGAGCGGGAGCGGTGCGTGAACCCACGCTATTTGCACTTGTGTCGCTGGTGGTCTGAGACAGCTCGGAGCCAATGTTGTGGTTCTCAATGATCTCGCCCCCGGCAATCACAACTGGACTGAGTCGGTCGCGGAGGAAGGGATCCTGAAACTGGGGACTGGTCGCAAGACTTTCCTGAGATGACCCGGTGCCACGGAGAAAGGTACTGACACTACTGCTTCTGCGGCGGCCGGATCCCAGTCTACCATAACCCTCGTGCCCCGTGCCAGCTGCAGGACCCTTTCGCGTGGTTCCGCCCTCATTCTTGTCAGAAGCAGCAGCGGATGCACTACTCTCGACCGGCGGGGCCGTCTTGGTTCGGCGCCCAAACAGTGGAAACCTTGTACGGAACGTCGAGACGTTTGGGCTAGGAGTGCGGGTCAGCCTGGCACCAGGCTCTTTAGTAGTATGACCCGGCACGTCTGCTTGCGCTTGTACTCGACCCTGACGTGAATCTGCCCGTGACGACTGTGAAGACATGGTAGGGCCAGGGGAGGCTGAAACAGCTCTGGTTAACTCAACTGCCTGAGATTGTGAGGACCCGGCAGGATGGAGAGTGCTAGGTGACCGGACCGTGGTATCTTGAGGTCGGACAGGTTGGTGTGAATATGAGGATGATCCTGGTCGTTGTTGGTGCTTGTCGTACAAAAATCGCTGTTGGTGAACGACATTTGCAGATGCTGGAGGCGGTGACGAGGCCGGTAGATGGAGATCGCCGAGAGGATCGGGCGAAGGAGCGTAGTCCAGGTTGCTCTGAATGACAGGCACGGAAAAGTCAAGTTGCGACAGGTCGGGCGTACCATCTCGGCTAGGGCGTGCTGGTGGCGTTTGTTGTTGACGAGTCGTCTGTGCAGGCGATGTGACTGTTCGATGCCGTTGATTAGGGGCCTTTATTGCGGATGAACCAGGCACGTCGCTTTTAGTGGCCGTTTTCTGTTGTGTTAGAAGTTGGGCTGCGCGTGCAGACCCTGTTGTTTGGTCTGCCTGCGTCGGCGAGCGTCGAGTTTGCTGCGTGGGCTGTGTGCGTTGCTTCAAAGGCGAGCTCCTTTCCTTCTCGTCATCAGACTGTTTGAATTTTTGTGATGATTTCCGCGGTGGCGGACTTGGTGGTACCGGTGACATTCTCTTCTTTTTGGCTTTCACTCTTTTGTCACCTCCACGTACTGTGCCATTCGATGATGAAGAGGACGAATTAAGAGACTCCCGAATGGCAGCAAGAGTCTGAGTGGGAGCAGCAGATGCATTCGTCCCGTTTCCATTCGGTACTTCCTTGTTAAAACTTCCTGTCCACCCCCGAGCTGGTTGCCGCGACCGTGGCGCAGTTGGCATGCGCACCGAAGACATCAAACCCGGAGAATGAGATGAGATCGATGTGGGCGTTGTGTCGCGGCTGTAGGGGCCCGGCCCTGGCGACTCGGAAAAGCGCGTCGAAGGGCTTCCGCTCATACCGCTTGTCAAACTGCTCGTACCCGAGAAGTAGGGTGTTGGTGGCGGAGGAAACCCTTCTGTGGCCAGCCGGAACAGGATGTCGGGGTGTTTTGAGCCATACTTATCAGACGTGGACGGCGAAATGTCAACATCACGGTAACGATCCAGCTCGGGGTAAATGGTGACTGAGTGGGCGCTCGTCACCTCTCCTTTCTGGGCCACACGGATCTCAGCTGGGCTTTCTGTCAAGCCACGGTCCAGGTCAAGCGGTGTCTGTGACCATGTTGTCGAAGACGAGGAGCTCGTGCCTGCTGAGTCGTTGCGTGAGCGAGCGCTGGACAAATTTATAAAAGGTGCCTGTGCCGAGCTACTAAGTGCATTCCGCTGGGACTGTGGCTCCGAGATTGACGACCGTACGGCGTTTGGGAGAGACCTGCTCGAGCTCGGGGTAACCATTGATGTGCCCCATGACTGGGACTGGTGTGTCAACGGTGGGCGCGATTGACTCTTTTGTCGTGGGTTCGAGGGCCGTCGTGGTGCTGAAGCGGCTGCTGGTGGTCCGGCAGTCGTTTGAGGAGTTCTGCTGGCGAGGTTCGGACGGGCGGTGGGCAGTGATGATGAAAACGGAATCGTAGACGACCCGGTTGATGCGAGTCTGCGGGAGTTGCCTTGGTCATGGTGTAGTGATGGGCGAGTCCGGGAGGCGTCCTGCGGAGCGAGGCCGTTCTCTGTTTCCCGCGGTAATCTTGTCCGGTCACTTTGTCCCTGAGGGGGTCTCAAACCAGGTCTGAGGGACGCCATGGTCTAGTAAATATTCACAAGCAAACCCCATCAGTGTCGATGCGGCAAAGCCAGGTAATATTCTGTCTCTCTCTGTCCCCAGCTATCATACCACAAGCATGGTATGAGGTTTGGTACATGGGCTATTAAAAGACCGAAAGGTGTGGGTGTCAGCACGCGATACCAATAATCTAAATGATGGTTAGGATGGAGGCACGAACCTTTGCCAGTAGAGCAGCGGTGCACAGGATGCCACTCTTGCCTCCATAAAATGTTGACGCTGTCCGGTAAGCGTGATATGAGATGAAATGGAGGGAGAACAGGCGGGTGAAATATGATGAAAGAAAAGGGATATTAAACAATAGATTGGGTTTGAATATAAGAGGCTCCAGCCTTGGAAGGAAACAGAGTTGAAAAAAGAGATAAATGCCGACGATACGACTAGGCCGAGAAATTGTCCATGAAGTAGCGATGAGAGACAAGAAGCGGAATAGAAGTATGTACTGAGATGGGAGAAAAGTATGCCGAAATGAGACAAAAAGAAGAAGAAAAACAATGGCAGGGTTAAAAAAGTGACAGGCCAGAATATAGCAACAGTATTCCAGGGGAAATGAACCGGGGCAGCACTAGAGGTGACAGAAATATCTAGGTAGGGGATGTGACGGAGGAAATGGAAATAGGTGACGGAGTGATGGTGGGTAGTTAAATGGTGTGGGAGGGTGTATTGAGCCGATCTAGTGAGTCTGCGTCGATGAAGAACCGTTAGCTATTGTCTCCCGAACAAGGCTCAATGTGGCGTAGAGTTGAAATAAAAAGCAAAATGGAAGAGAAACTCGGCTGGCGTTGGCGTGTGAAAGGAGCTGCTTCGAAAACTTACCAGGTGAGATCGGTGCATCTTGAACGGGGCAAAACACAGATGGACAAGGACAATGAGGTCGGTATCTAAAATTCACGAGTCAAGAAACGGGATATAAAAGTAAGAGAGACAAGAGACAGCAAGACAAAGTAGCTCGCGGGAGCTTGAAGAGGCGGACAGCTCAACAGTATATACATATATATCTTTCTTCGAGTTCGGAGCGTCTTCAAAGTGTCTTTTATTCATATCCAGTCAACAGGGGTACATTGACCAAGAGACGCACTGTGGGTGGAGGGGGCAATGGCAGTTGAACACTGGATATGGAGGGGGCGTGAAATCAGTAAGAGGGTGTGGACTCGAAAGGAATAGGAACAGGAGCAGGATGAATGGAAAGAACTGGCATAAAAAGAGAGGGAAAAAATGAATAAAAAAGAAAACAAACCCAGCAGTAAAGAGCAACAGAAGAGGCAGTCAAAATGATGGACAAGGACCAGATGGGAATCTCAAACGGGGTGGCACATCAAGCATGTGTGTGCCTCCCACCATTTTGGCTTGGATGCTTGCTATGTTTTTTCTTTTCTTCTTTTGGCCACACCCCTCCACGCGGAGGCGAATGCAGATAGACAGGGTGCAGGTACCTGGGAGCACTCAGCACTGGACCGCCAGCCATGGCGATCCCGCCGTCAGACGGAGGTAAGTTGCAGAAAAAACCTGCAGTGTGGCGGCTCCCTCTTTGGGCTCTACTTTTCCTCTTTGGAGGCTGATTTCTTTTCTTTTCAACATCTTTTTTGCTGCACGCCCTGCTCGTCCACGGCAAGGCTTTCGACCGGCTTGCTACCACCCGTCACCAGCCAAAGCTGTCATGTGCACAATCTCTGCAGTTGATCGGTGGGCCGGAAAGAATGCAGAATCGACCCGGAGCAAAGAGGAACTTTGAGGAATCGAAATAGCGTGGCCGTCTTTGCCCGTCTATGTTTTGGACGGGGCCAGTGACTGAAGGACTGACGGTATCTAAAGGCTGGAGGACAAGGGGTGCATGCTAGATGGAGTGGTGGAGAGTGTGCGACAGAAAAAACCAAGAGCAGAAAGGCGTAGAGGCGGAGACGAGTAGAAGGATGTCGAGTGGTGGAAACAAAACCATTTTGGGAGGAGATGGTGAGGGAGCCTTGGTGCAGCAGCTCTTGCTAGGTGGATACAGGGCCTTGGTTGCTCTTTCCATGTAAATGGTCATCGTGCCCACTTTTGCCTCCTCGTCCAGTGAGTCTGCGGGCAGCACTTAATCATTTAACCTTTTACTTTTTGTAGAAAACCTATCATATTTTCGTTTTCCTCCTAGGGAGCCGCTGTGCTTGCTGCCCCCTCTTTTCCGCAGTGGACAAAAGCTGCGCCCTGGCTTTTGCATACGGCGACGTCCTATGGGAGGCGAAATACTGGATACGCGATTGCCATTGGCCACAGTGAGCTGCTCAACCGCCCAATCGCACCTGCCCGGTCTGGGGTTGATCGGGACGTCTGGTTTAGAGAAGGAGCAGCAGCAGGATGTGAAAGCTAGGAAAACGGGCAAGCGCGAGCAGCAGACCCAGAACGCGCGTGATGGGCGTGAACGACACCTATATTTCGCAGCGACTTTGCTGGCCCGCAGGACTCTCGTTCTCCTTAGTAGGTGCATCGCGAATGCATATTAATAGGAGCTATTCAGGGATGGAGGTTTCGCTTCTCCATTTTCTGCGAGTATCTGTCAGAAGCGGTGTTGCCTTTTGTAGAAAGGAGTCAGTGGCTGGCAGTTCCTTCCCTGTCATTGAGCCAAGAACCCCCGTCAGGAAGGAGCACCGTAATGAGGGATGAAAGCACAGAACCTAGAGATATACAATTACGGGTGCTCGCAACGGAGGAAGGAGCCAACAAAGATCTGGCTGGTCTGCGCGGTGCGCGTGCGTTCAGTATTCGAAGCGGCGGGTAGGCGCGGACGGTTTGACCAGATGTTGATCGTGAGTTCAGAGTGGTGACCCACGTCCCCACTTTACAGAGGGAAGAGGGTCGCGAGAGGGACCGCTAAATACGCGAGCACACAAGCGTGACAGGTCAAAAAGTAATCGGTCAAGCGCGCTAACCCGGCAATGCCAGGCTAAGAAGCGCCTGAAACCCTAAAGTTAGTGGGCCTGAGCAAGAACCAGACCTCGAAAGACGTCTCGTTGGCGAGTTTGCGTGCCAACGCAGCACTTCTTCAGCTTGCTCCAGGCGCTGCCATCCGCTGATGTTTTGTGATTGTATGCTTATTGGAACACAAGTGAGATGATTGACATCTTGACGGAACTGCGGCGAACACCTGGGTGTGATATTTTGTGTGTCTCCGAACGGTGCACGAAACGCTGCATGTCTCACTTCACAAAAGCCGAGGGCTGCTTGGCCACGAGGTTGGGCAAGAGGGTGTCTTCCAAGTATGAAGGAGACTCACAGACACTCATGTCCGTGGATGGCACCTGAGTTCAAGGCTCCTCTCTCGTCGCCATGTTCGTCTTCACTTCATGGCGATCTAGTCTACTTTATCCACTGATTTGCATGGCTAGCCGCTAGCTGTCGACTCAACAGACTAACCAAAGCGACTATGGCCAAAGGAAAGGCCCGCGGGAGCCGGGGCGGTGACTAGTGACCAACGGCCTGTTTCTGTTTGTGGTCAGTTTGCGTGGACTCCGTATGTATGTCTCAACGTCTGTCGTTAGTAAATGTTTTCTTCTTTCTTTCGCTCCTTCCATCGGTTTTGTGTGCGGCCACGCTCGGGGAAGACACGCGGTCGTCGTTTCCCGTCTTTTGTCGCCAGCCCCCCTGTTCCTACCTGAGTTGCCCCCTCCACGATGACCACCGGAAAGAACCCATGCTCCTTCTCATGTGATTCGTCCATGAGAGCCACATGGGGCCGAACGGGAAGGAGGGAATCACCAGTCTCTTCTCGCTCGTTCACAGCAGGATTTCTCATTGGCTGTGTTGTTGCCAAAAACCTCTTATTTTGAACCAATCACGGGGGCGACCCCACTTGGTGTGAATCCCGCTTCGTGATGTCTTTGAATTCTCCAGATTCTCTCTCGTCTCCTCACCCTGGAGCCTGGCATGCGCCCACATGCATTTACAGGCCCGCAGTTGGAAACCCCCTCTCATCACCACACCCTCACAGGCTCAAAAGTTTATTTTCCAACCTTGGATGTAACGTGAAAGGCAGCATCGGGTCACACGAACGGCTCGATATTCGGAAGGTCTCAGTCGCACACCCACCTCTGCGGTCCCTAAACGGGACAAAATGACGATTACTCGATTCCGTCTCGCAGAGTTGCGTCTCCTAGACTTTGCGAGCTACGACAGCGGGTTGGGCAAACCTCGGGTTGCCTGTACAAATACAACAGAGGGTTGCACAAACAAAATTTGCACAAAGGATAATCAGATATCTCGATACAGAAGCATAGAGGCTGAGACGGAAATATAGAAAGATGAGACGCTCTCCGGGTTGCACATGCGGAGCGGTGAGCGTTTATCGAGGCGGTCTACGAAAAGCAAAAAGCCAAGTCGAGACGAGTGAGCTAATGGAAGTCAGGTGCCAACGACGAAAAAAACATGAAGCGAGAACCGCGTGCTCAACATGTCGGGCTCGTCAATAAGGTCTGTGACATGCTCATCATTGAATTTGCACGGCCGACGTCATAGTTCAGCGTCACAGATATTTAACGAAGTAGTCGCAACAGTCTGCCTTGCAAAGACAGCTGAGAGAAAGGCTGAGAGAAGACGCAAAATAAGCAGATGCATGCCTGTCCTGATGCGTTGGCAACTGCAAGAAGATCATCTGCGTCTGCAAGCGCGACGGCAATTTGTCGTCAGGTGACAGCGGCCCTGATATGCGACCCGACACGTTGGGAAGCGAGACTCCTGACCAAAAGACGGCAGGAGGATGAATCCTACTTTTCGCAACCTAGGTCCAACCAAAGCCTATTACAGTTATTTTTGCAAGCTGCAGGAGGCTGCCTCCGGCCAACACACAGGCCACCAGGCCTGGCTCTCCCCAGCATGCAAACCAGCATTATGCATGCACAGATATGCAAGAGATTGCTCCCAGATTTTTTGGCATGCAGGGCGCATTTTGCTTTGTGCATAGTCTGGGAACCAAACGGATAGCCCGAAAGTTTCTGGTTGTGTTACTGCCTGTTTTGCGATTGTTTATATATAGCACAAATCTCAAGGTTTGGCCTGCAGTTTTGTGTTTTTGCCCTGCCTATTGCAGCCCAGGATCCGTGGTTGGTATGCGCGTCTGCCCGGTAGGCGTCTCTTTCCCCCTCCCTACGACTTGACCAGATGCACTTCGCCACGGGCATTGAAGTGTGGCTGCTAAATGAGGCAAGACAATAGTACTGCTATGTGTTGGCAAAGAGGCGAAAGATAAGGCGAGGAAAACCTGAGTGGCAGAAGTGAGAGTCATCTCGCCCTCTCCGAGATCGATGCAGGCATTTCTGGTATTGTTGGTAATCTTCATAAGCCACCAACATGGTCAGAGGTCAGAGTTTACAACTCGTCTGGATATGCGTTTAATCTTTTATTCTTTCCTTTGCTTGTTGTTTTTCAACCCGGCCTCTTTCCCCTCCTGGTTAACGACACCCCTGCATTGTCAGGATAAACGACCTGGCCATTGTCTGTTCTTCCTCAGTCCCCATATTTGACTGGCAGGGGTTTGTCTTCTGCGATTGGGTAGCCGTTGCAACCACCAACGATCGTTTTCTGGGTTCTTCAGACTTCGGTGGAGGTGATTCTCTCCACGAAAGATGGCGTCCAGACAAATAGGCGAGTGTCGTTCCGATAGCGTGATCGACAAATGCTCTGGCCTTTGGTTCTGCCTTTGATATTACGCCGCATTATACTATAGCTGGCTATCAGGACGGATTTTCCAATGCTGGACAGGACACGCACTCAGCCATTCACACATCTCCAACGTCGATTGCCCGGCCGTCTTTGCAACTATTCGTCACCTTTCTGCCGTGTCTCCTTGTTGATGTTTGTTCAGGGGTGGAGACAAGCAAAGAAAGAAGAAGCATCGTGCCATACATGCCCCGTCTAAAACGCTGTCGTATGGGGTACGTCGGTGGCAACAAAATTAAAAAAACGACGATGCTCGAATCCTGCAGCTTATGCCACCCACTTTCAAACCACCTTTTGAGGACGCCCACTCGCCTTGCTTCTTTGCTCTTTGGCGGCCACCAAAAGGCTGTTTTGTCTACACGTGCTCCTCTTTCGGTCTTGTCGGTTTGTCATTTGTCCAGTCATGAAGCAATGTTGACAACAACCAACTTTTGTCGTCAAATATCAGCATGACATTGGCAACGATGGCCCGTGTCTTGTGACTACATTGGAACGACGTCTGAAAGCTCACACTTCACACCCCTTTCCCTGTCTCTCGGGATCCGAGTTTGCGAATTGGTGCGAGACATGCAGAGCCCTTTCCATCCATTTCCAATTTGTTTCCAATCCTGTTCCTGTCTATTTTCTCAGCTCAGCCCAGTTCTTAAACGGCCGCAATCCACGATGTATGGTACGTCGTTTTTCCCGTATCATGAGCTATTTCTTATCAATAAATTGTAGCACACAAAATTGGCCGAGGACATGACTTATTTACGCCAAGAACTTGCGGCATCCTGTTTGCGGCTTCCTCTATCTGGCCACAGGCAGGGACTGATGGCCCCTTTTCAGACGCTGTGACCTTGTCCTATCTCGGAAAATGTCGCACACGGCGCTGCTCGTTCGCTCCGCTCGGCTTGACGATGCTAGTCCAATTCTCCAAGACGATTCGCTCTTTTGCTTTTCCGCCTTCATCCACCCCCCTTTTTTCTTCTCGCTTGGTCTCTCATCGTCTCTCCTCCCTCGTCGTGGCGTACGCAAAGATCAAAACGCGCCTCCCGGTAGGGCTACGCCAAGCGCCCTTAGAGGTCATCGACCGCTTTTAGTCGTCGTCGTCCTGTCTTGTTCTCCGTCGTTAGTTTTGTTTCCCCTTAAGCCAAGCAGAAAGAGGCTGGCTGGATATGGCTTGGCTTCAAGGCTGGTTGCTAACTACGACATGTCTTTTATCATTTTTTGTGTCCCCTTTCTTTTTTCTTTCCTTTTTAGACAAACCAGCGTTTCGACTGTACGCTTTTTCTCCACCAAAAGAGCGCAAGCATCACGTTCCCAGCATCTCATATGTTCCGGTGGCTATTTCATGACCATCCTCTCATGGTCACGGGCGACCAGGAGCCGTACTTGTCCCAAAGCTGAACCTCTGCCGCCGATTCGCTCCATTGAGTTATCTTCAGCCGGCCATACAAATGACAATGTGGAGACAATCTGGAAGTCCAATTTTGGATTTTAGCACATGGATATCACCTCTCTTCTACGCGAGCGAATACTCGATACAAGCTGATTTCTAGTCAAACTGTCCAATGAAAGAACGAACAGGCATTTGGGATACTCTATTCGCACGCTGTCTATTGACATGTGAGCTTCCCACAGATGAGAGAAATATAAGAATAAAAAATGACCAGTATGCTCCTGGGAAATTATTTCGATGGTATCATTATTAAGCGTTCGGTTGAATACAAAGACATAAAGACTCAAACTGGGTGGTCTTTGACCACAGACTAGCTGAACTGATAGAAAGACATCAGGATCCAGACGAAACAGGTTTACCATGAGAAAGAAGCTGCATCTTTAGCTCATTCATACTCAAAGCGTCCTTCAGTTATGTACATTTCGTCGATTTTAGACCCAAACTGGCCGCGAGGTTACTAAAGACAACCGTCTTTATTGCAAAACGTAAGCATTCCCTGCACTTTCATTGCCTCTTGAACATTACATATAAGCTCATATTTATTAAAATAAGCTGACTGATTGAATTTCTCAGTCTATTTTCGGTAGCTCTACACAGTTGAATAACTAAAAAGTTGTGTTACCGTACACGAGATCAACACAAAATCTACAACATAAAAGCGGCTTATTCGATTAATTAATTATTCATTTCATCATTCATCAATTTTTTTTTTTTTAAAAAAAAACACAAACATCACCGGAACCTTCACGTTAGACAGGTGTCGTCTAAAAGTTTCTTGTAATTGCATTGTCGTCAGTTTGGCCTCGCAGTCATACGTCGGCAACTAATACACCTATGGCTTAGCGGGCCTTTCTCCAGAGCTCTGGACCCTGGGGCACCTGGAAGAACCTTCTTTGCTCTGAAGTTGCGCTTCGCCAGGGGTTATGCTCTGAATGGGTTTTGCAATAGAGCTGTCTGTTGAGGATGCCCTGTTACTTTATCATTCTTGGTCTTTGGATCTAATAAAAAATTTTAGCATTTTCATTTCTCCTCGTATCGAAATGACTATGTAGCGGGAACCTGTTGGCCACAGCTGTTCTCAGTAATCGATGACTGGGACCAGATCTAGATCTGTCTCCGGGAACTCTACCCCAATTAACAAAATCAGCGTGTCGATCAGGCCTTGAGCCCGCTGAACGCGGCTACAGTAGCACGTGCCCACACCACCGACTTGGCATCCCCTGTCTCCTTTTCACGACGCCACACCAGTTCATCGCTGCGACTTCGACCCCATCCATCGACGACACATCGACACATCGAAACAACGACACCTTCCCAGTTGGACTGAAGGGACAACTCGTGAACGACGTGCAAAGGGCCTAGCACACGTTTCATCTACCACGCACGCTCCACATGGGAAGATGACGACGGCGTCCCGGCTTTCGTCACCGTCCATCTGCAATCGTTTTTTACTTGCATCACGAACAAACGACGTCGACCTCTAACGAATCGACGACACGATCTCACGTCTGAGCATCCTCCACATACTCGTTTCGTCCGACTCTTTGACTTTTCCATCGATCCAAAACCACACAAGGCACACGCGCCGCCCGCTAGCAACGATGGCGCGACGGATTGTACGACCACTTTGCTTTCTTTTTTTTTGTGTTCTCTGCTCTTGCAAAACCAGCTACTAACTTAACACTCCCTCGCCACAGGTCCGTACGGCTCTGCAGGTGACTGCAGTTGGCATCTTCACCTTTATCCTCCTCTTCTTCGTCGACCGCAACTACCGCGTGCTGCCCAACGCCATCCACGAGTACATGCCTCAGCACCACCACGGCCTCGTTGTCACCGACATCCGCATCACACGATGCTCCTCCCTCAACGTCTTTTCGTCCTGCAAGCTCGACTCCGACCAGTGGCACCGCATCGAAAAGGACCTGTACCTCGGCAAGAGCATGTCGCACGCCTACGTCCACGTCAAGCGGAAGAAGGAGGCCGACCTGGAGCCAAATGACAAGGTGGTCCTGGACGTGGCCGTGGGCCGCCTCGACCCAGGTGCCAGCGTCAAGGGCCAGGAGGAGGAGCGCTGGGACTCGCGCGGAGCCGGTCTGTGGATCAAGCGCACCGAGAAGAAGCATGTGGGCGACACCAACAACGCCGTGACGGCGATTGACGTGCTCTTTGGCGACGACGCCGTCGAGGCGCGCGACGGCTGGGCCATCAAGGGCACGCCCCTGTTGCTGGATGGTGGCTCTAGCGTCCCGGCGGCGCACATGACGGTACGCAAGGGCGGCGTGCACGATGCGACCAAACCGCAGCCGCGCATCCACGACAACGGCAAGTTCAAGATTGTGCAGCTGGCCGACCTGCACCTGAGCACGGACGTGGGCCACTGCCGCGACGCCGTGCCCAACACGTACAACGGCGGCAAGTGCGAGGCAGACCCGCGCACGCTGGACTTTGTGGCGCGGATCCTCGAGGACGAGCGGCCCGATCTTGTCGTGCTGAGCGGCGACCAGGTCAACGGCGAGACGGCGCCCGACGCGCAGTCGGCCATTTTCAAGTACGCCGGCCTTCTGATCAAGCACAAGATCCCCTACGTCTCCATCTTCGGTAACCACGACGACGAAGGCTCGCTAGCGCGCACGGGCCAGATGTCGCTGATCGAGACGCTGCCCTACTCGCTTTCCAAGGCCGGGCCCGACACCGTGGACGGCGTCGGCAACTACGTCGTCGAAGTGCTGGCCCGCGGCAGCTCGTCGCACTCTGCCCTCACCCTCTACCTCCTCGACACCCACGCGTACTCGCCCGACGAGCGCAAGTACCACGGCTACGACTGGATCAAGCCGAACCAGATCGACTGGTTCAAGAACACCGCCCAGGGCCTGAAAAAGAGCCACGCCGAATACACGCATGTCCACATGAACGTGGCCTTTATCCACATCCCGCTGCCCGAGTACCGCGACGCCTCCCTCTACTTCAAGGGCGACTGGAAGGAGCCGCCCACCGCCCCTGTCTTCAACTCCAACTTCCGCGACGCCCTTGTCGAGGAGGGCGTTGTCATGGTCAGCTGCGGCCACGACCACGTCAACGAGTACTGTGCGCTGTCGACCGACGACAAGACCAACGTGCCCCGCCTGTGGATGTGCTATGGCGGCGGCGCCGGGTTCGGCGGCTACGGCGGCTACGGCGAGTTCAACCGCAAGATCCGCGTCTTTGACTTTGACATGAACGAGGGCCGCATCACCACATGGAAGCGCGCCGAGCACGGCGAGGACATTGACAAGAAGCTGGACGAGCAGATTATTGTCGATGCCGGCAAAGCGGCACCGCCGCCAGAGAATTTGTGAGATTACAACCGCGGCAAGCGCTGTTGTAATTTGTTTTCTTCTTTCTCAGTTGGCCGTCTTTGGTTATTTGCATTATCTGGCGTTTCCTACCGTGGGCTATTTCTTTCTTTTTTGAGATATGGATTTTGTTTTCGTCGTCTTTCTACCCTCTTCTGTTTAAAACATGTCCACTGTCTCCAATGTTTATTCCCCATTCTCTTACTACGTCTAAGGTTTTGTCGTTTCTTTCTTAATGAACGGATTTGGGCGTCTCAAAAACATGTCGTTTTCCTTTTTTTTTTTGGTGTTCATGTTTTCTATGTAAAAATAGCATCAGCCAGGATATGAGCATGAGCCACATCCTTGTGAGAAACACCCTTGTACAAGAAAAAGTGCAGCAGGATTAACAAAGATAAAATTGGCATGACAGAGCCTTGCGCCTCTTTCTTCCCAGTATTCATTCTCTTCACAGCCACGTGAAGCAAAAATGGCATTGGAAAACTAGTACGCTTTCACGATCGCCACGACAGACTTGTTTTGAGAAATCCAAGAATATGCCATAAAATGGAAACGGGCCAGAGTCTGACAGAAGCTACCATCCCTCATTCACTTCGCAATAGTGGGAGATTCACTTTAAGTTGACGACCTGCGATGAGGAGCAATGAAGATCGAGATGGGAGAAATGCATCCCTTCGTTCGACCAATATACGAATCCACCCTGCCAAGAAAGGGTGCCGCAAAACAATCCGAACAGCCCGGCAGTCGGAACAACGGAAGCCGCACAAAGTCCAAAACAAACAAAGCGGTCGTGCTACGATATGCACGCCCGGTGACCCCGTGCCCGTTCTGCAGTTCACGGCGCTCTTCAGCGTTCAAGGTTTAATGCAGCTAGGCCTACCAAGACACACTCTACTCGCCTACGAAATAGTGTTTAACGAATTATGTTAAGACGACACGGACAGCAGTCCTCTGGTTTTCACGGCGTCATCCGTTCTTTGTATTTTGAGTGTATCTGCTCCATGACACAAAGCGGAATCGATCGCTTGGTTACCGAATGGTCAGAGGTCAGAGCGGTCAGGAGTCTCAAGAGGTCGCATTATACGCCGTAAGACCCCGTGCTCCGTATTTTACTAGTCGCATTATACCCAGTACCGTCCCTGTATTCATCCTTCAGAGCCCGTCGCCCTCCATGCCCAATTGCAGTCTGTTCAGAACACAGACTCTCGCGGCTGAAACGGCCTGCGCGTCTCTTGAAACTTGGGACCACGCAACGCAAACCGGCCCCTATTATGCGAGAGGCGTGTGAGATGCGGCAGAGAGAGCATGGCAGTGGCAAAGCAGAGCGTATACGGATCGAACATCGTTGCTTGAACGTATTCTCCGTCGCGGTTGACAACGGCGTTCAATTCGAGACAATGATATGTTGACGTGGTGGAACGCCGTTTCCAGTATTTGCCTTGCCTTTTGGCAAGTGCATCCCCCGCCAAGGCCCTAACATCTGCAAAAGCGAAAAATGGGGCCTTCTCTCTTTGAGTCTGACACTGCCTGCTCTGAAGGTAAGTGCGGTTTGCGCCCCGGCAGACTGAGCTGGGGCGAGTCCAGCATTACGCAGCACACTGCATCTGAAAGGGAAAGTGCGGCCAGAACGGCCTGACCACTTCCATCGTCTGCCAACCAGAGCCCTGCCATCCACCTGACCCAAGCACTGGGACCCGCCCACCTGTTCCGTCTGACCCTCCCTGCTCGCTTTTGGTGTAGCTCCTGCCGTCACTCAGTCGTCGCCGCCCGTCGTCCTTGTTTTTGGCGTGCGTCGCCGCTTCCTCGCCCCGTTCGTGTGCCAGTGTGCCTTCCTCCATGGTGTCGTCGCCTTGCAACTTCACCATCACTTTGTCTCCTCTTCTTGCGTCGTCTGGACTCTCCGCCCGCACACTACAACGTTATACCAGCACTAGTTTGCTGCACTGCGACCAACCTTCTTTCCTTCTCCGCCCACAGCAAAGACATCACCTGTTTTTGCTTTGGGTTCGCTCGCTCTTTCTGTTTCGGTTCCCCAGGTGGCCCTTCCATTCCTGCGTCATCCATGCCTTGATCGTCGTTTCCTTCCCTCTCCAACTCCTCTTTTGGCTTTGGGGGCTTTCCTAATATCTCGGCAATTGTTTTCACCTCAATTTCTCCCCTTTTCGTTTTATTTTGTTCCTTATTCGTCCTTCTGCTGCCATTTCGCTCGTGCTCTCTGCAGTGTCCCTTGCATCGTTCCTGATTGACTCTACGCCTTGTCAGCCCTGCTTTACTTCGTTCGGTGCTTGCACCCACTTGTCTTGCTTATCTCTCACGCGAGTCGTCTCTCCTTTGCTCCTCACTTTTGGCTCCTCAATCTCAGTTCCTTTTCCTTCTTCCTGTCCTCTGTCCTCGTCCTGTCGACTGCGTCGACCTCTTTCGTCTCAAACTTTCGTCTCGACTCGCCCTGCGATAGCCCTGCGATAGGCCTGCCTTTCCCACTCGAACCGCCACACAAAGGGACTTTACGCAGTAAAAACGCTGCTGCCTCAACCTGCTCAACTCGTCCCTAGTTCCATACTAGCAGAGTACGTCACTCCAGTCATCCGCAGCGCAACAGCCCGATTCCAAATCTGCACTGAACTACATTTCGTGTGGGCGTTGTTTTTGAACTTTATTTCTTTTTCTTCGCCTCGATTTGTCCTTCGCCATATTTTGTCGTCTGATTTCTTTTGACGACGAGTTCTTCATTCTCCGACACTGCATCCCGTTAAAAAGTCGACTCTACATTTCGCCTCCCTTCTTTGTTTGTCCCGCAAGGTCCGGCCGCCGAAACGCTACGAATTTTAAATTCGACCTTCGGCCGGCCGCATCGACGACCTCCCTCCTCCATCCCTTCTTCATCCCCCGTTTCGTCCCATCGACAAGCCATCGACCCTGCGACAGTTGTGCATTGTATAATATTGCAGACCGCCAGTCTTTTGACGCCACGCCTCCTCTCTCCACCGTCCCCCTCCTTCTCAAACCGTTTTCGCCACTGTCACGCATGTTTCGTTCTCGGACCAACAAAACGTCAACGAAGTCGTGAAAGCACACAAGTGCCATTTCGCTTCCCAGACACATCGAGTTCCATCGACAAAGGACGCACAAACATACCACAACAAGTCACGAGCCGCCAAAATGCCACACCTACGGGCAGAAGACCCGGACAGCGCCCTCAGCGGCGTGGTCATTGGAATACTGTCTTCCTTTGGCTCCTTCTTCATTATCCTCCTTATCTTCCTGTTCGTCTACTTTCTCCGATACACGACACCCGGTCGCATCTTCCTCGACCGGATCGGTCGGCCCGGTGAATATGACGACGAACAGGCCTTCATACGAGAGGAAACTGAAGCACTCGAGACGATGGACGACATGCAGCGGACAGAATATCTGCGCGCCAAAGGTACGCACTGACACGCAACAACTGCCACCAGGTAAAACACGTACTGTTGGAATCCGAAAAGCATTGCTAACAATCTATTTCTATCTAGCGTTTGTCGCGGCGAACCCTCCAGAATCCGTCCCGACGGACATTTCTCTTTCCCAGTATCTCGCCATCCAAGAAAAGGGCGTGGCCGCCTGGGAGTTTGAACCGGAATTGGAGATCGCCAACTGCTTCGTCGAGGCGCGGACCGAGATCGAGTTCTTTGACTCCGAATGCACCGTCATGAGCAACCTGCCCGTGCCAAAACAGAACGAGGTGTACTATTGGGAGGCCAAGATCTACGACAAGCCCGATAACACACTTCTCAGCATCGGCATGGCGACGAAGCCGTACCCTCTCTTCCGCCTGCCAGGCAAGTTCTTGGCACTGCCGTTGCCATTAGCCACGGAGAAGACCACCAACTGCTAACACTCTGTTTACTCACGTAGGATTCCACAAGTTCTCCGCAGCATACCTGTCATCCGGCACACGCCGCTACAATCAGCCATTCAATGCGACACCATACGGACTGCCGTTTGTGCAAGGCGATGTCATCGGTGTTGGCTATCGTCCACGAACGGGCTCGATCTTCTTCACACGCAACGGAAAGCGACTGGAGGATATTACCCACGGCCTCAAGTCCCAGAACTTCTTCCCGGCCGTGGGCGCCAACGGCCCTGCCATTGTCCACGTCAACTTTGGCCAGGCCGGTTTTGTGTTCATCGAGGCCAACGTCAAGAAGTGGGGCCTTGCCCCGATGACCGGCTCCCTTGCACCGCCGCCACCATATGGCTCTGAGCAGGGCAGCATTCTTTTGGAGACTGGCAGCAAAGACGGATTCACGAGCGCAGCTGCTCCGCAACGGGGCCACGGCTACAGCCAGTCTGTCCAGACATACTCAACCAACCGCAACAATGCTTTCGACCCAGGACATGGCCGCTCTCGGTCTGGCAACTTCCGCATGCTGCCACCAACAAGCCCGGGCCCCGCGCGAAGCCCGACTGATATTTCACTTGCCCAACTCGTACCGACAGATAATGCCGGAGAAGGTAGCAGTAGTGCAGCAGCAGCGAACGGCGAGAGCAGGATTGGCCTTGGTCTGCAAGATCAAGACTTGACGCCACCACCTCAGTACTCGAGTCCACCACTATCCGACAGTGGCAGCCGTCGCAACAGTACAGACAGCGAAGACACGCCCCTGATTCGCGTTGGCCGGAGCCGTGGAGCATCGGCCGCCACACCTGTTCGCAGCAACAATCCTGCTCGCCGGATGCCTCGCCATTCGATTGGCGGACCGCCCATTCCGAGCTATAACGATGCCTTGCGGCAAGGCGCCGGTCAGCAAGGCGCCAGTCCAGATCGCAGCAACAGTGCCTTATCCGGGAGGTAACGCGGGAACGCGACCTGCATAGTGCGGTGCAGCGGGCCTCGCGCTTTTCCTTTTTGTTGGCACTGGTGGCCGAAATCTCGATACCATGAATGATGTCACGACACAGTCATGACGGCACTGGGTCAGGACCTAAGGGCGGGACGATATCTAGCGTTCGCTGCTATTGCGATCGCAAAACGACCCACTGTCTTGCGCACGAATCTACGACACGATACCATATATACATTTTTTTTGTCCGCTCTCTTAGAACAACCCTTGCATAAATGAGGTTTGGACGACGGAGGTCTTCAACTCGAGTAGACGGAGTCAGTGCTCGAGTTGGTGCTCGACAGTAAACACACAAATTCTCAACACACGCACACTGCACACACGAACTATGCACATATATACCTACGATATATTCACGGTACCGCACAAAAGCTTGCCTTTTGGTTTTTGTTCGGGTACCAGGCACGAGAACGGAAAAAGTCCCGGCTGGTTGGAGCGGCAGTTTGATTTAAAGTCTTTCGTATCCGATTCATTTTCTGGCCGATGGGGGCGCTTTTTGGCCGGCTCTATTTCATCGTTTGCATTCTTTTGCTTTCCTTTGTCTTTTTTTTATCATCCCACACGTACACTTGGGATATTCGAGCGTGGCGTCTGCAGGCGTTGACTTTGTGGTTTTTGTTGTCCTCTTTTTTTGTTCTTTTGTGCTTATTATTTATATACTCTCATAGCAATGCCCTATCTCTGCTAACTTGTTTCAAACCAACTTAACCAACAATACCATATTGATGCAGTGATGTATGCCTATAGAAAATACTGTGCTACATTATAATGTTTTGTGTCTATCTAGCATTTAGGTGTTGCTATCTATATAATATGCTTCCTATCGTTTCAATGTGACATGTGGAGAAAAAGGCAATCGCCTCCTGTGCCTTGACGTTCCCTCCTCTTTAATGACTGTATCTCTGTTATAGACGCCTGCTCATCAATAGTCAGTAGTAAATTCCCGGTACTCGTTTTCTCCTGCCTTGTTACTGTCCAGCTCTTGTGCTTTTGTAACTCCTCCTGTTTTATGATCTGTGCTTATCTTGATACTTCATGGTGATGTTTGTTTTCCTTCTCGTAACATTTTCCGTTGTTTCTCTCATTTCTCACCATCCCCAAGATCGACTCACTAAAATCTTGCTGAGCTGTCCCGTAGTAATCAGTCACCGATCGCTTTCTTGCTTTGCACCTGGCATTTTCCTCCCCAAGATCGTGAGCGTGCTTTCATGATTTTTTTCCTCGTTGCGGGTCATTATTCTCGTTCTTTGCATTCTCCAAAAAGTATCCACTTTCCTTCTCCTTGAGAAAAGACAACAGAACCAAAACACAATAAACTATAGGGAAAAAGACTAGAAAACAAAGGCTATCCAAGCAAAAACAATGAAAAATAAAACACACACTATCTACTGCAGGTTAAATGAAACGCAAAAAAATAGACAAAAAAGACGAAGGTATATGAGCCGTCGTTTATTTGACTGTGAAAGACATGGAGTAAAGGGGGAAATGGAGATGATGGCGTTCGTATCGTGTTGAAGATATACAATCGCGAAACGCACTCGCATGGTAAGAAAGTAATAGAGGCACCTTACAACCCAGTGTGCGTTTGTCGGTGGTATCAGATGCGGTACTGGGTTTTCAACGCAGTTTGCTCCTCAGTCGTCAGCTGGGCCAGGAACGTGTCGAGCTGTGGGATCATCTGCCGGTAGACCAGGATGATCTAAAAGCAAAGGTTAGCTCAAACAAATGCACAGTCGACATATTCAGTAGCAAAATGGAGAACAGGGACCCACATTTTGGAAGGCTGCGTGCAGCTCTTGCTTGATGGGGCTGCGGAGGTTGATGTCCTCGTACGTTGCAATCGTTTTAAAGTAGTGCAGCAGAACCTTCTCCATCGCCTGCGGGTTTTGTGCAACCACAAGAGTGAAACCACGCAGGGCGGTGGCTTTCTCTTCGGTCGGGTCGATGTCGTCCATGGAGATTAGGAACTCGTCCGCAAAGGTGTGCAAGTGGGGAGCCAGGGCCTCGGCACTGGCCAGTCCAAGGCGGCCAAGCGCAATGGCGGCGTTCTCGTTGACACCGCGAGGCACGCGGGGGTTGGTGATGATCTCGACACAGCTCTTCAGCAGTTCCTCTGTGTATGGTGCCATTCCCTTGCCATGACGAATAGCAATCTCTCCGACGCTCCAGCATGCATTGTTAATGACACTGAAGCCCGCGTCGATCTCTTCGTCCAAAATGCTGTCCATGTCAAGCTGCTTGAGCAGAATGGGCAGAATCGTGTTCAGGCACGGCTGCAGCTGAGGGAAGACAAACTTGGCGCAGTCGCCCAGCACGGCATAGGCCGATTGGCGCACCTCGTCAGTGGGATCCTCCAGGCAGAAGCTGAGCAGCTCGAAAAAGGCCGGCTGAGTGTCAGTCACGAGCATCGAGGCCTTCTCTTCTGTGAGGGCCTGGATGATGGCGCTGATCAGGTCCAGACTCGTGACAAGGAAATCCTTGTCAGGGCTATCGAGATGTGCGTTGCTGGCTGCTGCCAGGGACTGTTCCAGGTTCTGGTGGATGATGTTGACACATCGGCGGAAGACAGGCTGCGCGTAGGGAGCAAACACTATACCAAGAGACATCGCCACATAAGAGAAGCACTCGAGGAGTGGGAAGAGCTCACGCGACTGGTCGGGTACACTGTCGTAGCGCTTAAACAGAGCCGGAATCAGCTCACCCGACAGCTCAGGAAGGGCCAGAACAGGGCCAATGGCTTCCGCCAGGGTCTGGACACAATCGTACAGAATGTACATGTTGCGGTCCTTGTACTTCTCAAAGCATTTGATATATTGCTTGATGATGGGACCAGCGTACGGCTCGAGTTTCTTGCCGGCCTTCTCCTCGAGCGTCGCCATGGCCGACGCAGCAGCCTCCTGCACCTTCTTGTTCTTGTCGAGCATCTTCGTCAGGAAACCCTCCATCATTGGCACAAAATAGCTGGCAGTCTGGGCAGGTTCGGTCAGCTCGATGGCCCACTGCGAGTACCGGGCTAGAGTCCAGCAGGTGATCTGGCGCACAAGGGGCTCCGGGTCGTCCAGGAGCGTGACCAGGTACGGGACGAGGTTCGGCAGGTGCGGGGTGACGGCCGTGATACAGCCCTCTGCCACGGCACCGAGCGACAAGACGGCCGACTCGCGCTGTGGCCAGTCGGGGTGCTTCAAGTTGACGGTCAGGTACGGCATGATGCACTCAAACATGGCGTCGCCAAAATCACGGGCCAGCACATCCAGCGCAGCTGCCGAGCCCTTGCGAACGTTCCAGGTCGAGTCGCCGCCGTCGTCAAAGAGGCCATCGTCAGCGTCCAGACCGGCCTCGTCCTCAATTTCGCCGTCCTCGAGATCGTCCTCGTCCATGCCACCGAGCGTTTCGTAGTCGTTGTTGCCCTGATTGGCCGAGTCGCCGGAAGGGTTTGCGGATCCGTTGGCGTTCCGGTTTGTTTTCCGTGTGGCAAAGCGGGGCTTGATGTCCTCATCCTGGTCATCTTCCTCGTCGTCATCAGAGGCGCTGCCGTACAGAGCAATGTCCTCGCCGCTGTACACCATGCCCTCGAGCAGAGAGGGCACGATCTTAGTGACGTAAGGTCCGATGCTCTTCCAAAAGTCCTCGTGCTCGCCGGCAGAGAGCCAGAACTCCACAGCCTGGCAGGCCAAGTCCTCGTCGTCCTCATTTTGCTGCTGCGCAATGATGTAGTCAACCAGACCCGCCACATGGGGAGTCAATTTGTCGGCGCGTGACTCGACCAGGAGAACAAATGAACGGCAGACTTCGCGGCGCACATCGCTGTTGGCATCCGGGGCCAGGAGGAACAGCCGGTTGAGGAGGGCGTCGATGTTGGCGAGCATAGCCTGTGACTTGCGGGGGATGAACTCGCCGAGAGCCGTCAATGCCTGGGCGCGCACGCGGGGCAGGGGGCTGGACGTGGCCTCAATGAGCTTCGGCAGGAGAACGTTGAGCGGCCGCTGACCGTTGACCTCGCGGTCGAGGAGCTTGGCATTGTCCTCGCAGATCTTGTACATGGCGGACATGGCCGCCTCTTGGGTGGCAGAGGTAGTGTGGCCGTCGGTGTTCCCAATCATGTTGAGGAGGTCGTTCAGCAGCTCAGGCCAGGCGTACACTCCGCCGCGGCGAATGATCTCGGTCGCAATGTTGCCGGCATAGTTGCGAACGGGGTGGTTCTCGTCGCGGAGGCCCAGAAGCACCGCAGCTTTGATGAGAGCAACTGTGGCATCAGGGGTCTGCTTATATGCGTTCTTGACGGTGTTCTTGATCATGATGCCGGCAGCCATGCGGACAATGCCGTAATCGCTCGCGGTGAGGCTGACACCGGCCGGGGGGGCAGGGTTCGAGAAGATAAACGCCAGGTAGTTGTTGAAGTCGGGCGACGCCTTGGCTTGACCGAGCATCTGGAAAGATTGTTAGCATGCTGTCCATTTTCTGCGGTCTGGCTACAATTGCAACTTTTCCTGCAACTGCAGGCAAGGCTGTACTCACAATCTCGGCCTGCTTCTGGGCAGCCTTGTCAAAGCCATTGTGCGAGTCCTTCAGACACCCAATAAGAGTCTGCAAAGACTCGGGTGCCGGTTGCCACGCCATGTTGACGGGGGTAGGGATCGCGGCGGAAGAGAAAGACAACAAAAGGCGCCGGCGGCCAGGGTTCGCCGTGTCAAGACCGCAAGAGACGCGGTGAGAGGACTCGAGGTGGGAGTTGGGGCTCTGGTTCGCCGCCTGTTGTTTCGTGGTCTACTCCGCTGCAGCAATGCGACAAAGGAAATGCACGAATACAATGCAGCGATGTGCAACCCAACCAGCCCGGCTGGTGAAAGCACGAAAGTCAAGTATAGCCGAAGGGGGACAGACTGCCAGAGAGACGGATCTAGCTGTGGCGAGGCGCGGTCGAGACCGGGAATGGAAGAAAGAAGAGGGATGCGGAATAGATGTTGAGGGGCCGTTAAGAAGCTGCACAGAAGTCGACCTGGTGATACTAGTCGGCAGGCAGGGTTTGGCACAAAAACGGGAAGGGACCATCGAAACGTTTTGCACAGCAGTAGCGTTGCGCCAGTAAGATATACATTATTACTGATAGTCCATTGTAGAGGCAGGAGCAACCCAAAGAGAGCTGCCTCGCTGCTGCAAAAGTTTGACGTGCTAGGCGACAACCAGGCTAAAGCGGGGTGGCGGCTGGGCACAGGGCACTGGCGCAAGGCAAAACCGTGTTGACACCAAAAAAGCCAGGATTGGCAGGTGGTGGTGGGATGAGACGGCCAATTGCCCCTCTTTGCTTCACTGTTCCTGCTCCACTAAAACTACAAACAGTTGCAATAAATTTGATAAAAATAATTCATTAATTCATTGACTTCATCCTGGTGACCTGGACAGGACAAACGTCCAAGCTCCACTAGCGTTCAAAATGCCATCCATTTACACATTTTGTTTGCACGACTGTACGACAGAAACGTTGGGCCACGGGAAGCCGCTGCTCCCGTCGACGTCTGAAGGCGCTGCAAGATGACAAAGGTGGGCAAGACACCTGGTGGAACCAGTGGATGCCATATTTATAGTATATATTTGTTTTCTCGACGGCGTACAAGAATGGCAAAGTTCAAACGACAAACGTGCATCCAGGCATCATGTAGCGGTAGGTGAGCGATAGAGCCCGACTGATAGACCGACATTGAAATGGCGTCACCGGATGAGTATCAAGATTTCCGGTGCCATTTTCTCAGACGGCCACTTGCTTTCAGGTATACTTGTAGGGGACGATTTTGCTTAAGTCTCGTGATCCAGCGGCGGGAAGGAATAGGCAGGATAGGTCGATGAAATAGCGGCGGTGACGGAGTATATGAAAGGTCGGCTGGTCGAGTTTCTGCCTCGTTGGCTTGGTAGAGAGGATAGCGGAAGACGCAGTGGCGGAAACGTGCAGAACGCGCTGTACGAGGCGTCATTTCTGGCGTCCAACGATCGCTAGCTGGCCTCATGTGCCCTCCGTAAAGCAAACCGTTACTGACAGCCTCGTTGGTGTTGGAGCCCATGCCAGTTCTGGACACTCCCGTTGTCCGACAAAAGACAAACAAGTTCCCTGGGTTTGCGCCCGATCCTACCATTCCAGTTGCCGTTTGCAGGCTAGACTCTTTCCGCAGAGTAACAGCAAGTCCTGATCTTCCATATTCTTCCCTTCCTCTTTTTTCTACTCTTGAGGGTGTCTTCGAAATTATGGTCCTCTGCATAGTCCCTTGTTTGCTCTTGTCCTGGCGCCGTTTTCGTGAAACTTCGTGTTCCCACAGCCAGGGAATCAGCAGCACCACGTTTGCCGTGGCCTATATCGGGTGGCCGCAGCGACATGGGCCGTTTGCAGTATTACACCGCTTTTTGTTTCTCTTCGCCGCTGTTCTCTTTTGTTACTCTCCGTTTGTTCTGTGACACCCGTGCCTTGACATCGCTAAGCCGGGTCTGGCCAATGAGATGGTGGCTGGCAAAAAAGCTACCTCTGTATAAAAGATATTGGTGCGGTTGCTCGTCCGTTTGCCGTCCATCTGTAAGACATCATTATGTATCGTTTTACCGTTTTGTCTGTTTGTCTGCATCTTGGTTTGTAGGTCCAACCAACGGACAGCGACACTATGTGCGAGTGAGACATCTGTTGGACCACGAGGGCGGACAAGACTCGACGTATACGTTTGTATTCAACGCGCCGTTTGCATTGTCTGGGCGACTGTGGTCACCCACATCCTATACTCCATTCTGGAGAGGCTTGGGAAGTAGAGGCAAAAGCGTTGCAGTGACGGCTTGGAACGCCTCGAGCACCTCCTCAACGGTGCCCCCTAGGCCCATACGGTCCAAACTCAACGAGCTCGACACGTACACAGGCTGCTGGGTGCGCTTGACGACAAGACGGGCAAGGCGGGCAGCGAATTCGAGCGAGTTCTCCTCGACATAGATGTTTGTGCACAGCGGCTCACTCGGTTTGAAGCGCTTTTGGTTGTTAGCAGATCTCCTGGTACTGGTACTTGTCAGAACCGCACAGGGGGCAGACGTACATCCGGCACAGCATAGACAAATGAGCCCATTGGGGCCAGGGTCTCGCCGTCCTCGGTGCCAGCCGTTGTGACGAAGAGCATAAGACATTTATCGCGGGTCGTCAGACGGACGTGAATCTGCGTGTCCACGGCGCGCGGCAGCGGCGTGCTGAACGTCACAGTCTCGCTGGTGTTGTCAAGATCGGTAGCCATTGTGAGGTGAGTGCGTGCCGGACAGGTCTAAGTAGGCGGTATGTATATAGTAGAGCCCAGTCTGTATGAGCTTCAGGTTTGCGTATGCTTCGGGGCTTGAAGTTGTGGCCAGGTCAATAGAAAGAGCAATGGCTGACGTTAGTCAGTAAAGGGAAGACTGGAGTGCACGAAGCGGAAGGTACCGCCCAACTTTTTGAAAAACACAACCCCGCCATGTGCAGCGATTCGCGGCGGTGGAAAGCACCCCCTGACAGTAGCCGAAGAGCACCAAATAGAGCAAAACCAGCAGGTGCAACTAGTTAAGGATAGCTCGAGCTAGGAAGGGGTGGTAGGTGGAGACTCGAAACGAGAGCAAAGAACTGGCAGGCACGATGAACAGCCACCAAAATGGAAAAAAGCTAGTAATCAGAGACGAGGAATTTGAAAAGTGACACGGTAGACTGATTTTAAATCAGCCATGTAATCGACCAGCAGGGCCGTCTCAGGAACGATTTTGTCTGCGCTCAACTTTGCTCATCCCATCTTTTTCTGGGTCTTATCTTTCTGCTGCCCGCCCCACCATATTGCCATTGAAACTGAGACACTCAACCCATTCCCACAGCTTTGGCTGACTCAATATCAGAAGAGAACAGCTAGACGAGCTCTGGAAGATTTCTGCGAGAGGCCAAACAAAAATAAGGAGACTGTGAGGCACTCGACAAGAACCAGCATCCTACTCGCTGGTCCATTCAACAATACCAGTTATGGCCGAGACGCAGCCACCATCGGGCGGCGATAACCGGTGGGAGGTGTCTGACGACGCAATTCAAGATCCCGAGGAAATCAGAGTGCTCTTTTGCGCCCTGGACTCGTTTCTGTATGTTTGTTTCGGTGCCTGGGGAAGCAAACCAAGGAGCCAAGAAGCCAAGAATCCATACTGACCTCGCACAGACAATACGCAAAGGTATCGCACTTCAACTGTACGCATCTCCGAAGGCAGTCGTTCTATGCACTGTCCCAGGATCACTGGAAAATGCTTGCGGCAAAGCCTTTCTCGTATCTCGAAACACTGGATCGCGTTGACGAGGCCATTGAGAGCAACGCGGAGCTGGCCCGCGAGATTGTGCGGTTTGGCTTGGAGTCGTTCCGTGTTGGGGGCAGCGATGATGCTCACACGCAAAAAGCAGAAGCAGCACCAGCAGCACCCGGCGCAGAACCGAAGCTGCCGGCACACTGGTCCGGCGTTGCCAAGCACCAAGACGTCGACAAGGCGCGGAGCACCCTGCGGCAGTTTTTACGGGACTGGACAGCCGCCGGTGCGGACGAGCGGGAAAAGAGTTACGGACCTGTTATGCGGGCGCTGGCTGCCGAGCGGATACGGCGAGAGGAAGTGGCCGCAACGGCTGCGGAAGCTGCGGCGACGGCCAACGATGGACAAGGACACAACGCCACCGGCGCGGACAGCGACCACGAAGACGATTGGTATTACCGCGGCCGCCTCAAAGTACTGGTCCCCGGCGCGGGGCTGGGCCGCCTGGTATTTGACCTGTGCCTCGCCGGCTACGAGGCCGAGGGCAACGAGATCTCATATCACCAGCTGCTGGCGTCGTCGTACATTCTCAACTTTACGCGCAAGGCCGGCCAGCACACAATCTACCCATGGGTGCACTCCTTCTCCAACCACCGTGTGCGCGAGAACCACCTGCGCTCGTACGCCGTGCCGGACGTTCACCCAGGCCAAGCGATTGTAGATGCGTCGATGCAGCAGATGCAGCAGCCGCTACAGCCCGGCCAGCACGGGATCGGCACGATGAGCATGTGCGCTGCCGATTTCTTGTGTCTGTACAGCGACGCCGAGCATGCTGAGGTGTACGACGCCGTGGCGTGTGTGTTCTTCCTCGACACGGCGCCAAACCTGATCCGGTACATCGAGACGATCCGGCACTGTCTCAAGCCTGGTGGGCTGCTGATCAACATTGGACCGCTGCTATGGCACTTTGAGAACAACGCGCCAGGCAACCACGGCCGGGATGACGACGGTGATGGGGAACACGACGCGACGACCTCGACAGGTATTGCGGACCCGGGCAGCTTTGAGCTGAGCGACGACGAGGTGCGGGCGCTGGTCGAGAAGCTGGGGTTCACGGTTGTCACGCATGAGACGGGTGTCGAGACACCCTACATCCACGACGACCAGTCGCTGCTCCAGACCGTCTACAAGTCGAGTCATTGGGTGGCACGCAAGAACTAGGAAAGCGTGGAAAGTAGGAGAGGAAGCCAGTATGCATTGTTTATGATAGACCATATGCCATACACTATATACCGAATAAAACATAGAACAGGGCCACAATACCCGTCGGACAGGCGACATACCCATCTCATGCGGTTTGGGATTACATACCAAAAACGTCACAGCATAAATACCGTTATATATCGTTATTTTGCCCTTGCATCAGTGTGTCACATGCGGTGTAATATCCTAATGTGAACATAACCAATTCTTATATATGGTTGCGTGCCTTGCATCTCGACCTATCCACAAACACCTCCCAGACGCTGGCGTTTAGATCTTCGACTTGTTAATGCCGCCCATCTGGCCCGTCTGCCACATGGCGCCTCCGTCAATCGTCAGCGTTGCACCGTTGACGTGCGAGCCTGCCCGCGACGTCAGGTACACTACGGCGCCGGCAAAGTCCTCCGGCTTGCCGAGCCGCTGCATCGGGTTGCTCTTGGCCACGCCGTCCGCACCACCGTCCGCCATCGCCAGCAGGCCCTGCGACATCTTTGTGGGGAAGAAGCCGGGCGCAATCGAGTTGACGGTAATGTGGCGCGGGCCCAGGTCGACGGCCAGGTTGCGGGCCAGGTGGATGACGGCGGCCTTGCTGGCGCTGTAGCCAAAGGTGGCCTGCTTGCCGATCGTGCCAATGCCCTGGCCGGCGACACTGCCCGTCACGAGCACGCGACTGGGGTCCTCGAGCGTGCCGCGGCGCAGCAGCGAGGGGCCGAACTCGCGAATGGTGTTGAAGACGGCGCGCACATTGAGGTCGAGCACCTTGGCAATGGCGGCATCCGGGTGGGTGTCGAAGGGCTCGCCCCAGGTGGCACCGGCGTTGGCCAGGAGAATGTCAATGCCCTCGGGACTGTCCTGCTTGACAAAGTCCACAAACTTGCGCAGGCCCTCGGGGTTGGTGACGTCGGCGGGCGCCGAGATGGCCTTGGCGCCGGGGGCCAGACCGGGAAGCTTGTTGAGGGCGGCGGCCGCATCGTCACAGACCTTCTTCTTGCGGGAGTTGATGTACACCTTGGAGGCACCGGCTTGGAGGATGCTTGTTGGGAGAAGAACGTTAGCAGGGGCGCTCAAAACGGCTGTGAACGGGAAGAAAAAAAAAAAAAAAAAAAAAAAAAAAAAAAAGAACAAAACAAAAAGGGGGGAGAAGACGTACGCCGAAGCTGCGCTCAGGCCGAGGCCACGAGAGCCGCCAGTGATGACGGCGATCTTGCCTTTGAGCGAGAAGATCGACGAGAAGTCATGGAGGTTGAGATCGTAGTCCATGGCTGGAGATGTGGCGAGAAAGGCGATGAAAGATGCAAAGGTGATAGGACAAGGAGGATGTCGTAGATTCGATTTGAGTCCGTGAGAATACTCTGCTCTATAAGGAATGTACACCGTACGTGTCGAGATGCGTGACACTCGCAGCTTTAAAGGAAGTAGCCATGCGACGATTGTGTCTTAGCCTGTTTGGGCAGTTGCCGAGGCTCGGTCTTGGCACCTTTGGAATCTCCACGCTACAGCTGCGAAGGCCCCGGGCTCGCCGCCCCCAAAGCTGCCTGTAGCTCCGAACCACTCCACTAAAAGACGACGGTCAGAATGCGGTCTCCACCTGGGCCTGGGGAACCGCATTCGAATTCCGGCGGCATTGGAGCACTAGTAAAGCAACACTTCCGAGGGAGCATTGTCAAATGCGGAGTCGTAGAAAAAGTACCTTGTAAAAATCAATGGCGCAACGATTCTATGCTTCTACGCACTTGCAGCTTTGTTTTCAAATCATGGTTACTTTGTTTACTTCTGCTTCTGTTTTGTAGATATTCATTTCAATGTTTGCTCCACGCTGCTGCTTTGCTTGGCTGAAATCGCAATTTTATGTAGCCAGACACAAAAACCTTCAAAACGATCAGTCGATAGGCCACTGCCCCTGCCCGAGGCCCAATGGCACGGCTCTCTTAGCACGTAGATATCCCCATTTCCCACCTCGCTGTCTCTTGGATTCTAGCAGCATTGCTATTGCACACCGGCCACCGCATCCCGCTCAACCTGCTGCTGCTGCTCTATCTGCCACTGCGCATCGACGGCTGCAGTTTCGTCCTCCAAGCTGGGCTCCACCTCCTGGGCACCTTGGCCAGTCTCTGCATTCTCGTCGCTGGTGTTCTTCACTCCCTCTTCTGCTGCTGTAGCCGCCGCCGCCGCGGCGGCTTCTGCTTGAGCTTGTGCTTCTGCTGCCGCTGCAATCGCTGCCTCCGCTTCTTCTTGGGCACGGCGTCGCTCCTCTCTCTCACGCTCCTCCGCAAGAGCCACGTGCCGCTCGGCGATGCCAGGAGCCAGGCTGGCAAGGAACATTATTCCAATGCGCTCCAGCCGCTGTGCAAAATCCCGCAGACGGTGGCCGTTGTTAATCTGGCGCTGTGCTACCAGCCGCGCCGCCACCTCGGCAGGGTCGGGTTCGCGTCCACCGGCACGGCCAACGGGGGGAGGTGCGGGCGGAACCTCGCCAGCACCGTTGACAGCAGTATTCGCCTCGCCAGCAGGGACCGCGGCATTTTGAGCGTCGGCCTCATTCTGTGCACCAGCCTGGCCATTTGCGTTTTGAGGGTTGACAAGACCGTCGAGGTGGGCACGGATGGGCGTCCAGATCTGGTCAGTAAGGCCGTCAAGCACACCCGTGTTGTAGATGAAGACGGCCGTTGCAATAAGGATCACCATGATCCAGCGGGTCCAGCTGGCATCGGGGTTTGTGAACCACCATACAAACAACACCAGGCGAGTAACCAGCCAAACATGGGGCCACATGGCTGCCAGGAAACCAGCTCCAGGGTTGTTTGGTTGTAGGCCCAGTCCCTGGTGGTGGTTTGCATCCAGATTCGGCATCTGTTGTTGTTGTTGCTGCTGCTGCTGCTGCTGCTGCTGCTGTTGTTGTTGTTCTTGGCCAACCCCGACTGCTGGGTCCAGCTGGCCTGCCTGGTCCTGTGTTGCTCTCTGCTGGGCGGCAGCTTGCTCTTCATTCATCTGTTCGCTTTGCAAGTGGAGCTGCCGCAAGTGCTGTAGAACCGCCACGCTCTGCATATTTTGTCGCATCAGGTTTTCGTAGCTCTGTCTCTGCTGCTGAATTTGTCGGTTTTGTTGTTGGATAAGTTCCGCCAGCAAATTCTGGTTTTCTCGGCGTATAGTATCCACATCCGCATAGACTATGCTTTGTCGGGGCGCGTCCCTAACACCACTGACAACAACTGCACGCGGACCAGTTGGCGACTCCAATACATAGACGTTGGGCCGGGCAGTGTTTTGCACATATCCATGAGTTGCCCCGGTGGTATAGGCCTGCGCCTGTGTTCCCTGTTGTCTGTTTGTCTCCACCACATGCAGCCCCTCTTGTCGCCGTGGATAGCGCTGGGTGAGCTCTTGGTGTCTTTGCTGCAGACGCAAAACCTGCTGCATTTGCCACTCCTCCATTTGTCCGCCTCTCGATTGGAGTTCTTGCTGCACGTCGCGAACGAGACGCACACCCCCTAACTGGCCCGAGGTCTGCTGTGTCTGTTGGGCCTGACTGAATGGTGGCCCGTGGTGTACTGTGGGATGTTGCCCGGGATGTTGGTCGATTCGCTGGTGCGTCGCGGCGAAAGCAGTGGGTGCATGAGACCCCTGTGGTTGATGGTTTTGGTAAGCAGATAGCGGAGGCAGAGTCGGGGGTGCAGCGGGAACGGTTCTCGGAGCAAAAGGATTGGCCATCCCAACGTTTGGAACGGGCCCAGGGTTCACGTTCGCGCTGGCGCCGCTGTCCCGCAAAACAAGATGGAGGACTTGCAGTCTGGTCTCTTGGATCTAGAAATCGAAGCAAACGAAGAGGAGTCAGAAAAGAACAGAAAGCAGGGAAGGACTGGGGCGGTAAGAAACAGGCAAGAAGGGCAACGGACCGTGGAGATACCAAACACATCCGCCAGCGTCTTTTCATCCATATCCAGTAACCGGCCACGGTAAATAACCCGCATACCTGCGGGCGACCGGTTGCGAAAGGTCAACTCGTTCCCAATCAAGGTCTTGATCTGGCCAACGGTGGTCGACACGGGCAAATTAGAGAGGTCTGGGAAATCAGTGAGATCCTGCGTGGGCGAGATCAGGCGGACGGAGACCGTCAGGTCTCCGTAGCCTGCGGGAGGGCCTGGGTCTTCCATAACGGGACCTGGTGGCAGCGGTATCTAGTGGCGACGTCGTCACGGTCAAAAGGTGGTGGTCGGTAGTCGGTTTTCGGTGGTTTTGTGAGAATGTGTTGCCTGTTTTCGACAGGTCTTGAACAAGGGGATGGAAACCCGTCGAGAGATTTGAAAGTGAGCGGTTTATTAGGCGAGAGGAGAGGGAAGCGACAAAACAGGGTGAAAAGGGAAAGAGCGACGGACAACGACGAAAAGTGGCGTACAGCAAAGCGGGAAGGTGCAGAATTGTGTGTCGTACTTGCTGCGCGTACGAATGTACTTTCAACTCAATATTATGAATGCACGACGAATGACTGAAGCACTTCAGCTCCCCCGAACTGTCCACCTGGCGTGTTCCGAGCAGCCGTTGGAAGGCTAGCTGATAATTAATGTGGGTCATCAACCATAAAGTACTAGTACACAGGGTCGCTACAACATGATTGCAATTTGAAGAGTACCTGGTACCTCGACCGGGATCTTCCATGGATGGCCCGCGGGCGTTTGGCAGTCCAAGTACTCAGTAGGTTTCCAACAGCAGGTCGACATCCTTCAAGACCCTCATTTTAGCGTACGTTTACCCCTGCCAGTACCTGTAACCTTAGTTCTTTCCAAGCGTATTCCCTGCAACCCTATTCGAACTGCATTCTCATTTTCAGTGTCACGTGAGGGGCTGGCACGCGACAAGTAGCAGCTGCCTTTCCAGCGCGTACAATGTCTTGCAAATCCTCGACGGCAGCTGCAGCAGTTGCGAAAATAGTATTTGCATGCGTGCCAAGCGGATCAGGCTCTCATTTGCTCTTCACTCGTGATACAAATCAGGTTTTGTTGATTCTTGTACAGGCCGCAGAAAATGCATGTGGAACAGCGTCCTCCCGCAAATTCCACGTCCAGACTGTGTCGATAGCCAAATTTCCACTACGAACCAGCCCATGCCCTTCCCTAGCGTCCAGTCGCGCCTTCCCTGACCGCCCTTCCCACCCCCTTTAGGTGGGATACAGCAGAAAGGCAGGCAGAGACACTGTTTCTGCCACATGCCAGCGTCCTGCCCGCCATCATCACCTCAACAGAAAACAGCTCATTTTATGCACAGTGGCTGTAGCTACCCGAAATTGGCATCGCTTCCACCCACACCCCCCCCTCCCTTGCTCGTCCTCTCCGTCTCTCGTTTCTCTCTCTCTCTCTTCCAAACCAGTCGACTTCATGGCGACTCGGTTCTTTCATGGTTCGCCTACCTGATTGACTCACCAAATCGAACAAATGTTGTTCCTTTTGATCCTCGTTGGCTTCGTCGTGCTAATCGTCTTTTTGTTTGCCCCCCATCCAGCAGGCAGAATGGCGTCCGCCCCGTCTCGACTCGGCCTGTCCAGGGGCAGTTTCTCCAAGGGCATCACCACCGGCCGTTTCTCTGTCTCGCTCTCCGAACGCCAGATCCTCTTCAACCCGCCTCGCCGCCTAGTCATCAACACGTCTCCCTTCCGCTTCTACTCCCAAAAGGCCTTCCGTCGGCCTCGTTTCTCGGCCCGCCTCCGTCATGCCTTGAAAAACTCCAAAATCCAATGGTACCGCATCCCGGTCGGGCTCGGCATTGGCTTCCTGGGCCTCGTCCAATTCAACAAAGTCCGCAACCGCCAGGCCGCGCAGGAGGACGGGGAGCACGGAGCAGTTGAAAACGCCACAAAGCCCAAGAAACGGCCGCGGATCCGGCCCGATGGCCCTTGGTATGGAACAACAACCGTTTCTTTTTTGCTATAATTATATATGGAAGACCAAGGCGGTGAGCATGTGAAGTGCCGGAACTGCTTTGCTAACACCCATCACCACGTCTTCAGGCAGGTCCAGGTCATGTCCACGTTACCTCTCAAGGCGCTCTCTCGGTTATGGGGACGCTTTAATGAGCTCACCCTTCCATACTACATGCGCGTACCAGGTATCAAACTCTACAGCTACATTTTCGGAGTGAAGTAAGTACCGGCCACACAATCGTATCCTTTCTGTGCCAGTTCGTTTTTTCCCTTAAAACTGTAGCTCACATCTTCGGTTTTTTGTAACAACAGCTTGAGTGAGGTCGAGGAACCGGACCTTCACAAATTCCCCAACCTCGCCGCGTTCTTCTATCGGACCCTCAAGCCCGGTGTGCGGCCAATCGACCCGAACCACAGCGCCCTGACGTCGCCCTCTGATGGCCGCATTCTACAGTTCGGCAAAATCGAAGGCGGCGACATTGAGCAAGTCAAGGGCATGACCTACACCCTCGACGCCCTGCTCGGCAAGCACACACCCGCGCCAAGCATTGTCAGCGGCCAGCTGTCGTCGTCGGCCTCCTCCACTTCTTCGTCGACAGCCAACCTGCGCGCCGCTGTGACCACGGCGGCCGGCAACAAGAGCCAGGCCAACGTGGCACTGACCAGCGACGAAAGTCTGGTCCGCGCCGACGAGGAGTTTGCCCAGGTCAATGGTATCTCGTACACGTTGCCCGGCCTGCTCTCCGGCCCCGACGTCACCGACCGCCCCGAGGCAGAACTGGAGGACCAGTCGATGCTGCCGTCGGCCAAATCCATCTCAGAGGTGCAGGCCGACCTGGACCTGCCCTGGTACACGCAGCTGATGTCCAAGGACAAGAAGTCGGCGTTGTACTACGCAGTCATCTACCTGGCGCCGGGCGACTACCACCGGTTCCACTCGCCGACGAACTGGGTGGTCGAGCGCCGCCGCCACTTTGCCGGTGAGCTGTACAGCGTGTCCCCGTACCTGCAGCGTACGTTGCCCGGTCTGTTCACACTCAACGAGCGTGTTGTTCTGCTCGGCCGTTGGCGCTGGGGCTTCTTCAGTTACATCCCGGTCGGCGCGACCAATGTGGGCTCCATCAAGGTCAACTTTGACCGCGAGCTGCGGACCAATAGCTTGACGACGGATACGGCAGCCGACCGCGCGGCCGAGGAGGCGGCCGCACGGGGCGAGGCGTACTCGGGCTTTGCGGAGGCCACGTACGCTGCGGCCAGCCCGGTCCTGCACGGCCACGCGCTGCGCCGGGGCGAGGAGATGGGCGGCTTCCAGCTGGGCAGCACGGTCGTTCTTGTGTTCGAGGCTCCGAAGCCGGATGCCGCAGCCGCAGTGGGCGGCGAGGCCAGCGACAAGAGCACGCCCGGCTGGCACTGGGCTGTCGAGAAGGGCCAGAAGATCAAGATGGGCCAGGCCCTCGGGTTTGTGAACGAGTAACGAGCCAGACACCGGAAGAAAGATGAAAGAGAAAGTACGGTGCAGTGAGTGGGAGAGGAGAAGCAAAACATATGAACCAGCCATAACAAGCATATAAAAATTACTAATGTGCATGGGAGTACATAATGGGAGAAGAAATAACACGGTTACATTTCAACACCAGCGAGACGTTCAACACCACAACGGAGTACATATTTTGTTTTAATTTGTTTTGTTTCATTTTATTTGCACAGCTTAATGATGATTCCTCTTCTTGACTTTCCATCTTTTACAATGTCCTTTTATGCATATTCGTGAAGCTTGAGTTGGAGGGTGCGGCAGATACGACTAGTGCTTACGACGTACCGCTGTTAACAGGGCGATCCGTCCCGGGGCTGCTTACTACATGCAGCCGGACGAACATACGGGCCTATCAGACGATCGTGTAAGTCGAAGACAGCTTGCCGACGTACGTCGACAAATGAGCGATGCGAAACATACAATAACACAAGGCTAAGGCGCAAGACTATTAGGCAAGGCTAAATCGCCGTCTATGCGATTCATTTCCCATTAATATTGGCTCGTTGTAGGCCCAGGAGACCTAACAATATTTTCATTTCTTGCAATATTTGGAATGTATTTGAATGAAATCAATTCGACATCTATTGCTGTATATAAAAAAAGGAACAGGCAATAAGAAACCAGCCTCCGTCGTGGTGCCGGCTTGTTTCCAGCTCGCCAGTCGGTGTATCTCGCCGCGAATGCTACCATACGTAAAAGCGAAACGAAAGATCTAAAGACGCTGTATCTATACCGCTTCGATTGTATTTTTTTTTTTTTTGTTCAGGTTTTTATTAAGTTTGCAGGCATCGTGGACGCACAATTACGCGCCGTAGACCCTGTAGCGCTCCTCAAGGGGAAGGTAGTCCTTGGGGCCGGCCTCGCCGGCGCGGCCGCCAAAGACAAGTTGAGCGTTGAGCTTCCAGGTGGCCGGGATCTTCCAGGTCTCGGCGACCTTCTCGTCCACGATGGGGTTGTAGTGCTGCAGGTTGGCGCCCAGGCCCTCGGACTCGAGTGCGGTCCAGAGGGCAAACTGCAGCATGCCGACGGACTGCGCGGCCCAGATGGGGAAGCGGTCGGCGTAGAGGGCAAACTTGGACTGGAAGGTCTCGACGACGCTGCTGTCCTCAAAGAAGAGGATGCTGCCGGCGCCGGCCTTGAACATGGACAAGCGCTTCTCGGTGGCCTCCCAGTTGTCAGCGGGGACAATGGCCTTGAGGGTGTCAGAGACGATGGCCCAGAACTTGTCGTGCTCGTCACCAAAGAGGACGACAACGCGGTTGGACTGGGAGTTGAAGCTGCTGGGGGTCTGGCGCAGAGCCTCCTGAATGATCTCCTGGATGCGGTCCTTGGAGATTGGCAGGTCCTTGGAGAGGGCGTAGTAGCTGCGACGGCCCTTCATAAGCTCGAGCAGAGTGTCGGCATTGGGCTTGGAGACGGATGCCATTGTGCGAGACGTTGGCGGTGAGAGGCAGAATGCAGGAAAAGAGGTGGGGGTTCGAGATGAGGGAGCCTTGTGGCTGGTCGAGAGGAGAGAAGACGATGAGGAGGAAGAAGCTGTAGAGAAGGAAGCCAATGCAGCTTTGGAAATACGTTGTCTGAGAATAGCAGGTTTCGAAGAAAGCGAAACGAACCGCAAGAAACTGGCGGTATTCATAGGAATATATGTATTTTTTGAGAGAATATGGGAAGGGAGGGGTAGACGGAAGGGGATTGGGAAGACGGGCGGGCGTATTTGTGTAGCTTGGCTGACAAGAAGCGGAAATACAATGGGGGCAGGAATGAAGCCAGAAGGGTCGAGAAACGGGGAGGATGGACAGTGGCGGGACAATGGTAAACAGGAGCAGGTACACGCTTAAGCGGCTCTTTCCTTGGGACTAAAGGCCTTTGTCTAAGAGGTATATTTTACGGTCAAGGTTTTTATATACGGAAGGAACCACTGCTGCAACAGGAAGGCACCAAGGGGCAAATGCGTGCCCGGACGTAAAGCGGTGGAAGGTGCGAGCAGGCTGTACGACGGACCGGCGAAGCTTGGCCTGCCCTGGCTTAGATAACATCACCAATACAGAGGAAGGATCGCAGAAAACGGGCGGAGAAAATAGAAATTTTACGAAATCGCGAATAGCGAAGACACCGAGAGTCGGCCCCATCCCGCCATCGACAGGTTCGCAAGGCCGATGGAGGTATGGTGGAGACGTGTACATCGTAGCTCTGGTGAGGGCAATCGCCCCCTAAAAATAAAATCTTACTTAATTCTTCGTCATACTGTACGCCTCTTTGTTATGTAGATGAAGCGCGGGATAGTTCGAATTGGCGTTTTGGCGGCACGGCATACGGAGACCGGCCGGATGAATCTGTGTTAGTGCTGCTGGGTTTTTTTCCCTCCCCCTTCCCCCCGTTAGTCGTCATGAGTTTAACTGGGCATTTTTCTGTTCATCTCGATACAAGGATCGGAATGTCACCAGGAGAGGGGTGTCATAAGATGTCTAGAAGGATTCACGCAAAGCCTCATATTACAACCGGAAATACGGGGAGTGTAGGTGATTCCGTGAAAGTTGCGCTCCTTGAAATAAGGTCACGTGCACTTTCGGTGAGGTTAAATGGTTCCGAAAAGATTGATAGAAAAGCAAATACTGTTCCAAGTCCATTAAGCGCATAATTGGGCCGCGATCGTTGACATGTTTTCTACAAAAAGGCAGCATCGCAGTCAGCCTTGCAAAACGTGAGATGTACGACGTAGTTGGAGCTCATCGAAGGTCGAGTCTTACGGTCGCACAAAGACCAGGGACGTCAGCACTCTTTCGGCAATCGGGACAATCAGGGCCCCAAATTTGCAAACCGACTAAAAATTTGTATGTTGTATTTCCGATGGACGGTCCAGGTGCCGTATTATTCAGCGGAAAACAGGATTTTAGTTCCGTTTAGTTAAGAAAAGTTTCGTCCGAAACGGGCGAAGAAAAGTTGCAAAATTTAACACTGAAGGACCAAACGACACGACGTAAATAAATCACGAGTTGTAGAATAACGGATGCAAATGTGAACATAGTAGCCATCTTGCCGCCACCTTTATTGCTGCGTAGCTTTTATCGAAGCCCAATGTTGGTTTTCGCAATGTTCTGTCTTTCTCTTTCAAGGACCGAGAAAAGCAACCCGCACGCACGTAAGCTTGCTGATTGCGTGCTTTGAACCACAGAACCCATTAGAAACCCCTTTCGTAAACACTTTGTTCAAGATTGCAAACAATTAGCAGTGCAGCCTGTCAAAGACGTGTTCGGTTCGACCTTGTCCTCGCCAAGCAATACGTTCTGCCTCACAACTGATAAGGGCAAGCCATTCATACTCGGAATGATACATCCTAAAGTCACTAAAGCATGCCACGGTTCAGAGTGCGATAGGTATGATTGTTTCCGTAGACTTTTTGAATTTTGTCTCTCATTAATTCCAAACGCCTGCCAATTGTGTCCTTGGCTTGTATGTTTATCTTTCGTTGCTTTTGGGTGGTGTGACCCAAGTCTAGTATGATAGTATAGAAAGTAGACGTAAAAAATACGAAGAGAAAAAACGGTGAAGGAAAGTAAAACGTGAAGACGTAAGAAATAAAATCATAACATGCTTCTCCTCTTAGCGAGGGAACAAAATGAACACCAAAGTAGCCCGCAACAATGATGGAATATGACAAAAAAGGCCCAGGTAGAAACCCATGTAACAAAGACGTGCAAGCCAGGCGGCTCAACAAAATGTATAAGAAATGGAAGACTCAAAATATAAACAGGAGAAGTAGAAAGGTGCGGGTAGGAAATGAGAAGCGGGACGTGGGAAGAAAAGAAGAGGGGCCAATGGCGGTGGCTACATCTACCAGGTCTCGGCAGTGTATTGTCCAGCCTCTTTCTTGAGCTCCCAGAACTTGCCGGCCTCTTCACGGCCGAGGTTGCCCTTCTCCATGGCAACGTCAATGAGTGCTTCATGAACACCCTCACCCATGCCGCGGGTGCTGCCACACACAAAGACGCGGCCGTCGACCGAGTTGATGACGTGCCAGACAAGGTCGGCCTGCTGGCGCACCTCTTCTTGGACGTAACGGCCGGTGCCGCGGCGGCTCTCGACGACGCGCTTGACCTCATCCTCGTGCACACCCCACTCGCCACTGTACAGCTCGTCGACTAGTGAGTCCCGAACGCCCTGCAGCACCCAGACCTTGTTGGCACAGTTGGCCGTCTTGAGGCGGCGCTGCACGAAGCCGCGGAAGGGCGCAATGCCGACGCCAGCGCCAATCAACAGCATGGGGCCATCGGGCACGAACTGCTTGGCAAGCGGGTTGGCCATGAGACCCTTGAACATGGGGATGTAAAGGTCTGGCTCCTCGCCGCGCTGGCGCGCCTCGAGGAACTTCATGGCCTGGCGCTCAAAGAAGCCGGAGCCAATGCCAGTGCGCGTGCCAGCGAGCCAATCACTCGACTCATGAACGGTGACGGCAATTTCTATGACACGGCGTGTACGGTCGCCATCCTTGGCGAGGGACTCGTGCGGGTCGTTGGAAAGGGAATAGAAGCGCGGCATCTGTGGCTGCAGAATGGACAGCAGCTTGTCCAATGGCGGCTTGGCACTGGGGAAGGCGTACAGCATTTGCTGCAGAGACACGTGCGGGCCGGTACGGAAGTCGCAGAAGACACCCTGACCCTCGGCCGAGCAGAGGAACAGGAGCACCTTCTTCTCGTTCTCGTCCGAGGCGTACTCAGCAAGTAGGCGCAGGAGTCCCTTGGTTGGCGGGTAGGACTGAACGTCAGAGCACCAGGTCAGCAGGTCGCGGCGTGTGGTGACCAGCTCACGAGCCTTGTCGTCCCCCCAGACCGTTGGCCAGCGCCCCTTGGTGGTGCGCAGCAGGGCAGGCTTGTCGCGAAGGAAGCGGGGAACCATCAGCAGATCCAAAAGCTCGTCCACCAACTTGGTGTCGTTGGGTGCAGAAACACCAATGGCGCCACCGACCCGGAACTCCGTATCGCTCTCGACGGGGTAATCGGTAACGTCGAGGTCGAAGTGGTACGTCCGCTTCTCTGCGCCAGGGCGGGTCAGCTCGCGGGCGTTATGAATGCGTGCCGGGTATACGTGGTATGGAGGGTGAGGCTGGACGAAGAAGGGAGGCTGAATGGTCGTGTCAAGGTCAAGCATCTCTTCGACCTCGGGCTCGATAGCCAGCTTCTGCATGCCGTCGAGAACCTCGACCGGCTGCTGCTCGGCCTCAGGGACGAGCTCGGTAGCCTTGTCCTTACGAAGTTCACCCTTGTCCTCGCCAACGGAGATGGCCGAGTCTGTAGGAACAAGACGCGGGTGGTCGATAGTTGCTGTAGGCTTTGCCTGCGTCTCAGTAGCAGGAGACTCCAACTTCTCCTGTTCTGGTGCTAACCCGGTTGCTGCTGGCAGGGGCGTTTCGACAGAAGTCTCAGAGGAAGCAGCAACAGGTGTTGGTGTGGACTGTGCAGAGAGCGGCAGAATATATGCGGTCTGTTCGGGGATGTCGGCGACAGAAGTGAGAGATGTGGGGATGTCACCAATTTTCAGCTGCAGAGAGCGGAAAGCGTCGTTGTCGGGAAGCAGGACAGTCTCATACTCGACGCCTTCGGCCTTGGCGCCAGTCTTGAGACAGCAACCGCCACCGCAGCACCGATTGATCAACTGGGTACTGGACTCGCCGGTAATCCGCTGGATGTCGGCAGCGTTCTGGGCAATGAGGCGTGTCGAAGCGCGCCGGCGGCGTGGGGTCGCTATAGAAGTCTCGTCTTCGGACGAGGACTGATGTGGGTCGTCGTACTCGTCACGGTCGTCACCAGACTCAGAGTAGGTCAGAGAGGGAGTTATGGAGGGAGCGCGTAGTGGGCCGGGTAGGTGCTTGTTGGCAGCGGCGGCGGTCGCGGCGGCAGCCGCCACGGCAGCAGCGGCTTCCTCGGCAAAAATGTCGCTGAGGCGAGAGTGGGCCATATTTGCGGTCATGGCTATACGGTCACGGACGGACAAGTAGATTCCTGGACGGAGGAGACAGAGGAGACAAGCCAGGCGAGAAAGGCGGTTGGGAGAAGAGGACACCGCGAAGGCGACGTCGAGGTAGAAACGCTGGGGCCGCGAAAGGAGGTCGAGAGCGGAGGACAGAGCCGGGAGATCAGGAGGAAACGAATGGAATGCCGTCTTACAAACAAGGATGCATGGCGAGGACGAGGTTGGACGGAGGCTCTGGAGGAGAAGAGGTTTAATAGGGGAGGGAAAGACGCAGCGAATGCGCGAGCAAGCCAGCGTTGCGCGAGCGAGCGGAAGCGGGTGGGTATGGATGAATGAGGTATTGATTAGGAAGCCCTGACAAAAAGGACACCACTGTGGAGAGGCTTCTGCTTTCGTGTCAATCTGCAGGACGAGGTCAATTGGAAATGGAAATGAAGTTCGAAAGGAAGGGAAACGATAGTAGAACACGAGAGAAAAGAACGAGAAAGGGAGGAGAGAAGGAGGCCACTAAATTAAAATGGCGTTGAAGTTTTGGATTGGAAGCAGCGACCGACGGAACACGGCGCAGAAATTACATGTTTCTTACTGAAGACTGACCGATATGGAAAGAAGACAGGAGTGGCTAGGAGAAATTTGGGAAGGCTTCTTGGCTGCTCCTTCCGATTTTGGCCGTGGGCCATGGTCAGGCCATCTGGGGAAGGAGCAATAGGACCGCGGTTGCAGGAGTCCAGGCAGTGCGGGGCACGGTGTAGTACCTGCTGATTATCCCCTCAAAGTAACGACTTGGAAGATACCCAACTGCCTGTTTGCCAACTACGATGTATGCCAAACTGTTTCTCCTCACCTAGAGCATGCTCTTTGTCCCCTCCTTCCCGCACCAAATTTGCTCCTCGGTTCGGGTGGATTTTGAGGCTTTTACGTGGACGGCACTAAAATTTTAGGGACGAGTCAGTTAGTTGGCAGTGGAGAATGGAGACCCTTTTGTGCGCGCGTCGCATCTGATAGCTTTTGTACATGGCATTTTTCCCCATCTGATTACGCTGATTGTCACGGCGCCATCGTACCTCTTTAATTTTCATGTGGGTCAATCGTTGTCAGATGCCCAAAAAAACCGATGATCCATAGATCGAAAGCACACGAGTACGAGGGGAACCAGAGTCGATAAAATGCGCCGCCTAATTTCCAGTACCAGTGAAGGGTCAGGTCCCGGCTCATGTAGTGCCATATCGGCAGACTTAAGAGTCGTCGTTTCCTCCATGAATTGAATGTCGGAAACAGGTTCGGCCGGGGCATAAAAGGAGACGTAAAGGGCAAGCAGTATTTACGAATATACTCCGCAGATAACATTAGTGGGGGCTGCATCGCCGGGAAGACAGAGCGGACTCCTGGAAAAGGCACCCACGCAAGGCATTAAACGCTGGCAGAAAGTTGGAAAGAGGTGGGAGGATTGGTGAAATATTGCCACCAAGTGGCGTCCTCCGGCCACGGTACCGGGTCGCCAGACGGACAGAGCGAAAGTCACACTCAGCATCGTCATGCTAGCCCACTTCGCCCATCTCGCTGACCTCTCGGCTCTTTCTTTGAGTTTCGTCTGTGTTCTTGCTCTTTTTATTCCGAGGTCTTTGAATTGTCCTCCTTTTTATCCCTCGTCACGCTAGCATATACCTATCAACGTCGCATTTGCTGCGTGAGCGGCAGTGTTTGGTCCAAACGGCGAATTGCAATATCCAATGTTGAAATGACGGCAGATGGCTAGTCATGGACGCACCGATGCTCGTCGTCTCGTAGTGCCTTTCTAAGGTAACGTGTTGCTGTCGCGGCGACATACGCGAGTTTGACTCTCGCCCGCTCCGACCTCGGCAGGGAATAAGGAACGGAAGACAGACGAGGACAACAGGCAGGACAGTCCAACGGACTAATTTCTGGCAGGCGAGGACTCGTGGGCATCAGCCAGTGCGGGGTGCAGAGTTTGCCGGACAGTACGCACGGAGTACAAAGCTAGCGTCTGCGTGTCTCACATTCCAGTGATTGATTATCAGATGAGATTAGATTTTTCGCAGCACTGCGTCCTCGTGTTCCTCTGCGGCCCACGGCATGGGCCTGCTCATTTAAAATAAGAGACGTCGTCGTCTGAGACACCTGTTCATTTGCTTTCTTTCTTTCTTTCCTTATTTTACTCGGTGTGCGTTACGAGTGTAGTGAAGTGGCCCTCCGTATCAGTGCGTCTGACTCCGTAGCTGCTTCGACTCTTAGGTAAAAGTGATAAATCTTGTTGCAATGCCCAACTACACTCCACCCTCTCTTCCGTGAGAGCGCCCCCATCAGAGACCCCTTGATCCAAAGCCCAACAAGCTCTATCTGGGTCCTGGCTGAAGCGGGCCAGACAAGTCGCTCGGCGAGTATCACAACAGATGTTCTATCCGTCTCGGATGAAGACAGACCGGCTCATAGGCAGTCGTAATTATTCGCATACACTACTCGCCTTGAGCCATTGCGTCTCATCGTTGTCATTGGCTCTGGCCTATTCGGCTCCCTCCCACTTTTTTTCGTTTTCGTTTTTCGTTTTTCCGGCCGTTGGCAAGAGCGCAAGGATACGGCTTGGCTGCTCTTGGCATTCTTTCTCAGATCCTTGTCTGCGGATCAGATAAGATTCACCTCAAAAAGACACCCACTGAGCCACTGCAATGTAAATCTGGTTGGATCGGGGCTTCAGCCCATCATCTCACCATTCTCTAGCCGTCGCACACCGAGTAAAACTTGAAGACCTTGCTGTCCTCTTCCGTGTAATTACTCCGTATCGCAGTTCCTTTGTTTTTGGTCATCCTGTCATCACTCTTTGCCGAGCATTATCCATATCCGGCTCTCACCCATACGTAGGAGACAGAAATCTATCATCCACTATCTCGACCACTATAATGCTGCAATTCCATCAATATGGTCCCCAAAATAAGAGAGTGGTCATTCGACCACGTGTTGTTTTGGCAATGTGTAATGAGAATACGGTGGACGCAGGAGACTGGCCTAACGCCTTGGCATTATGTCGGCTGTCGGGAGATACTGATCCAACGAGACCTAATTTTGAATTGAATGATGCTTCCCCTGCCGATTAGAAAATACCACTTATACGGGCCAAAATCCAACCTTCCAGAACGGGTACTACGAGACCCCTCCAAGGCGGCCAGGCGCATCCTGAGCCATCACCACCACGCAATGTACATGGTTGTAGACGAAGTCTGCACACGTACAACGCACAGTCACGCAAGTGGTATAGGACACTCCCGTACGACCGTGTGTAGATTGCCTACACCGCTCATCAAGTGGGTACTTATAGAAACAAGACGGATGCCGTAAATACCTCGTCTTCCTTCAGGAAATACCTTGCCAGCTGTCTCGTATTCCCTCAACAACACCCTGTAAGCTATCATATCTCTGCGGCTCTTCCGGCTGCTCCATAGAGGCGAAGAAGAGAGAGTCTGCAGGTAGCACACATAGCAGGATACGGTGTCAGATAAATGAGCATGTTTTGGGTAACTTTTTTGGGGAGGCTTGGGAGCCATTTGCCTTAAATACACAAATCTCCACTCAGAGTCCTCAGCCTCGTCGGTATTGACCATACGTAGGTGAACTGCAAGGCTGTTGCAACGAGATAAGCTTATTTTCATCATGAATAGCACCTTAAAAGGTCATCGTTTCCTCGTACTACTTTGTATCGTCCGTTTTTATTGTCCTGTTGTTGTGGTCCAAGGCGTTGCATAACGCTAGCACAGCGGTCGTTTATACGGGAATATATTTAAGTTTTAGATTTTTTTCTTCCTTTCACGAGCTTGGACTGAGTTATGAAAGGTGATATAATGCAGCAGGCATAGCATCGAGGAAAGAGTTCTTCTCATACACACATCCCATCGTTCCTTCATCCTCAGCATCAAGACGCTCCTTCCTTTTCCGATTTTTGACATGTATTTCAACGTCTCAAATTGGAAGGAAAGAGGGATGATGTACGAATGCACCTTCCGAGAATTGCGGGTGACCTCTTTCCTTTGAAATATCTGATAGCTTATTTTCTGTTTACTTCTGCTTGTCTGTCACCATGCGGCGCCTATGTAAGATTTTCCTCATCCCCATCCACTTCCACCCCATTGCACCCTTCTCTCCTTTTCCGCGACGAACACATCATTGACGCGGATCAAGTACTTTTATTATTTCTAAATCGACCAGGTGCAACTGCAACGCTTCTACTGTTTTACATCCCCCACGTATCAAAGTATTTTTCTCAGAACCATGCCGACCATGCCTGACAAGAGTGACGACTATCCAAACAACATGGGGTGTCCAAACCGCACCTGCGTGGAATACTCTTCACAATCCTGCTCCGAGGCCTCATGGTTTGGCATAAAACGAGCTCAGCGATATTTGCGTCACCACACAGTGGCATGGAAAGTTAGGGATACGAAAAGGAAAGCCGCAGCCAAAGAGGAGGAGGACTTGAACGTCGGCATGTGCGACACACCACGTCAACCTCGGGGAGCGGCCATGCTTTCCTGGCGCCGAGGAACCTATGCGCTACATCGGGATTGGTTACCACTAGCGCCTCAAGAGTCAAGCAGTTCCGGCTCCCAGCCCTCGAGTCCGACCTCAGCCGAACGCCAGCCAAAAATAGCACCATCACACAAGCCTCACAGACGGCCTGGTAAAGGCAGACAGGAACCCATGAGTCATATACCTGGATCACGGCACTCACTTATCGAGCCTGACAGCCCGGCGGTGTGCATTTCTAGTCAGTGGAACACAGAACCGTCTTGTTTTGACCAGACTCAGACGCAGTCTCCGTCAGAGCCGTTTCCAGAACAGCACTCTCTAGAACAGCCCTTGCAAGGGTACCAGGGGAAAATGAAAGGGAAAGCGTCACATGGACAGCCGTTGCAAGACCTGTTGGTTGACAATCGGCCTGGCTGTGTCACCCAAGGCCATAAGTCGCATGAGGCTGAGCAAAGCGTTAACTCGCAGTCATCAGTTGACGACGCCTCTGGTAGCCACGACTCACAGTCAACGAAGGGCAACGGCTCATCTGAAGGCCCCGGTTCTTATATACAGACCGACAGCACATATTGTATTCCTCTCACAAACGATCATGTGCCGAGAACATGGGTCCAGAGGCTCGGGGAGACTTCACAACTGGATGTACCGGGCGATATGCGCGGTGGCAGTAACCAGAAAGCCTCCGATGATGACACAGGACAGGTCGGCGGACTCGCATCTGCACTCTCGCGGACGGCGAGCAGGATGCACGTCACCCGCACAAGGTCCATGACAAACCTACTGTTTTCGAAAAAGTCCAGCATATTTTCAGTCCGCCGAACCATCAAGGGCCGCATGCCGGTTGATACCTTAGGGATAACACCGGACACGGACGGCAGTGCCGGTTTCGCCCCGCCGCCGTCTACTTCAGCTTTGTGGGATCTTAGCGAGGAAAGAAATTCGAGGGATCTTGGCACCATTGACGCCATCCTAGCCAGACATAATATGGTATGTGATTGATACCATTGAAGAGTTTGTGAACTACGCAAGGTACTGCAAACACCCCGGCTAACATGTACAGCATCCATCTCTATCTGCTTACTCTGCCGACTCCTTGTCCACCAACCGGACAACCTGTTCATCTGGTACAAAACTGTGGACCGAGCCCTCGTCGACCGAAACTGACCCTGAATTGGACGAGGATTCTAAAGATCTCGACCATGACACGTCGTCCGACTGCGACACCCGCGAGGCACTCATAGTTCCATCGTCTAACAACACCTCTGGACCTGAAGTTCTTCAAAAGAGCGAAACGGAACACCTTACCGAAGACCAAATGAGCGACGCTAAAGCACCAGGAAATGTGCCTGCAAATGATTCGCCCTGTCTGGATCAGCAGCCAAACCAGCGGAAGACGCTGTCGGAAACCAACAAGGCTGTGGAGACACAGCAGGAGCCGTTTCAACTCTCTGAAGAAGGCAAGAAGTTCTCAAAAGAGCTGGAGTTGCGCTTTGCGCTGTCAGGATGCGTCGAGATTCCCAGCGGGACGATACCGCGGCCTTCGCCAGCCTCGAGCTTGACGACTTCGCTTAAAAAGTCTAATGCACTGGATTTGCTTTGTTACGCCTCGTACGGCAAAGAGCAGGCGATGGAATCACATCACCGAAGTATTCGGGAGGCCTTTCAAAATGTTGTTGCGGGGTCCCGCTCATTGAGATGGCTCAGGAGCAGAGGAAGAGGGATGAGGTTCTCGCGGAAGCCCATTCCCGACTTTTAGTCTCGGGGGCGGACGCAAGGTATTTTATTGTTTTATATTTTGGCTTTATGGCGTTTTGGCTAACCGAGTCCCATACTTGGCTGCCACCACCATATGGGCCGCTATAAACAAACGCAATGGAGGACGGTAATGGTGCAGAACAAAAGCTACCAGCAACCCAGAATAACTTACACATCAGGATTAGAATACAGCAAGAGACACCGTCCACAAACAAGCATTTGGTCATTATCATGGCTAATGTGATTCTGTTGACCAGCCACGATCTTGACCTGCGGAGTTCTGCAATCCCATCCACGAGTAGAATGTGTCTGTAGAAAATTGCTTTTAGTTCCACAGTACTCCAGGCACCGTTGCCCTTCTGAGGCTCTACGGGAAACGAGCTCAGGGGGCCATGGGTAGGTATTTACGTCAGGCATATATATGTACCAATCGCTTCGATACCTTCCGCTGTGGGCATTTTATGCGTATGTATAGTTGTATCTGTTTCTAAGCACGGCAAGACTAGGCAGGTAGCATCTTTTCAGAAATTTAATTTTACTTTCGTTTTGAAATACGAGGTTTTGAGCCTTTCTCCTGGCGCTTCCTTTCATTGCTTTGTCCTTTCCTAGCCCCTAGGGTCTCTGTACTCAATAATGAAGTACACAAGCGATCTGTCTACCGTCCACACAAACACTTGGCCGTCGGAGCATGCTAGGCCCCTCTCTGAATACAGTCTACTTCTTCGTGTGTACTTTTCGTTGGTATGTCACTGCTGGTTCCATCATAACAAATATGGGCAGGGATCAACCATCCGACGTATGTCCTATGTCGGTTCCATATTTCTCGCAATCTCCTTGATGAACCGTTCCCACCACTATCCTTTCGACGCGAACCGACATCTCACACGCCCCCTCCATCATGCACTTCCTTCTTATCCTCCTTTCCCGAGTCGAAATAGTCTATGCACGGTTTTTTTTTTGGTACCATGGCTCCCTTCCTGTCGTCTGCTCGACGTCCGCCTGCACGTGGAAAGGGGCGGGCCCCATTGATTTCTGTACCCAGTCTGTTTCCTTTTGAATTTTTGCCAGCGAAAACAAGCTGGATGGCAAGCCAGGGAACCGGGTAGTCTGTAGCGGTAGGTTGAAGTGAACCATGCCGTTGCCGTATATGTTAACGCTTACGCCTCGCCCTCCCATTCGTGTCTGGGCTATACGAGGGTTTTATTTTTTCAGTCTTTCCAGGCGGGGCCTCCCATATGTTTCTTTGACTTTCCACCTCTGTAATGGACCATTAGCCCTCCCAGTGGTATTTTGCATTGCAGACATACAGACATACTTGTACCTTCTATTGTGGGTGTCCTTTGTTGCGATACCTCCCCTCCTCGAGCCAGCCCCTATTCGCATTCTCGGACCATCACCAACTGGCTCCCCAAGTTTTTTATTTGCTCCTCCACTCACGCAACACCGCCTCCCCCCCCTTCCCCCCTCATGTAGTTGTTTCTCAAATACTAATTTTGTGCAGGCGTGCATTTCCTTGAATAGCATCCCAGTCGACATATCAGCGTTGCTGTTGGCAGCGGTTGTGATGTGTGCCTTAATGAAACAGGATAGGGCACCGAATGGGAGGAAAGAAGCACAATGGTGAGCAGCGCCATTATTTTTCTCTTTTGCTCTTGCGCTTCCTTTCTACTTGCAGGAGACTGCCTTGTAGGGCACAAATAATCTAAGACACATAAGACAAGTATTTCTATTTGGCGGTAGACTGGTGGACTTTGAACCAAGTAATACAGGGGACAACAGCACAAGCCCATCCATCTCCTTAGGCTGCCACAACTACTGTTGTGTACAGATCCCAAGTCAAGGAGTTATCGCTCAGAGTATGTCAAAAGCCATATAGGGGCCTACTAAACAGTTTGTCGACTTGTTCTCACCGCCCACGAGCTCAGCGTAGGAAGAAAAACAAAATGAATACGTAAAGTAATATCATTGCGTGTATTATAATATCCTTCCCTTCCGTCTGGCACATACAATGACTTATTTTCTTTCCAGTCGAAGCCGAACAGAACGCAGATCCAGTCATAAAAATCCAAAAGTGCAAATAGGTGGCGAGCAAACAAAAATATTGATGGGCAACAGGACCATTAAAATTCCAAGCAAGAAAATTCCAAAAGAACAAGAAACGCCAACGCGATGCAGTACAACAAAAGTATATATATATATATACATACATCCAAAACGCTAATTAATTTTGTTCCCTGGTAAATGGACAAAACATGCCAGACGAAAAAGAGACAGTGCGATACAAAACAAAAAACAAAAAAAAAAAAGCTCGCAATACATTTTAAAAATAGCAAATTCGCTATGCAACCGGGTATCGTAATTCATCTCCATATGACGATGCAAGGAGCGTGCGTAATGCCGAAAACTATCGTCATTGGTCTGAAAACGTTTAAATGAGTGTTGGCTTTTGTGTAATCCGTCCCGAATATCCGTAAGATAAGGAGTGTCTAATGGTGGGTATCATTCGATGAAGATGAAGGAGCGTGTATCGTTATTATGATAGTAATAAAGGAGTGTCGTGAGATCCGGTAGGTGCTGGACGGCGCTGCCAGTCGAGTCCGTCTAGTTATATATTATTGTATAAATGAGTGCTGGAACCGTTCATTACGGTGTTGAACGCAGAGAAATGTCGAAAGCAGAAAAAGCAAGTAAAGGCAGAAATGCAAATGCAATCAAAGAATGAAAAAAAAAAAGAGGCAACCCAGCCAAGCTCGGCTTATCTGGGGGTACAGGGGAGGAGAAGGAGGGCGACGCTTCAGACGGCTTCTTCTTTGACTTCCTTTCCTTTGCCCTTGCCACTGTCTGCGATTGAAGGGGGGGCAGACGATGTGGACAGGTTGTGCCGATGATGATGGTGAAAGCGAGGCTGGGCCATAGTCATCGTGGGAAGAGCCGTAGAAGAAGAAGGCACCGAAGACATGAGGCGCAGAGAAGAAGGCACTTCGGGTGGGGCCGGGTACGTAGAGTAGGGACGCGCAAACTGCGCGGGTCGCGAGGCCAATGATGGGATCCTGAGACGAGAGCAAAAAGAGAACGAGTCAACCAATTTTGCTCTTTGGAGTTTGATGTTTGTGTGCTTCGTCTGTTTCCCCGGCGGGGGAGAAGGCCGGGGTGTTGGAACGCTCCAGTACACTCACGAACAAATGTACTAGATCCAGACAGTTTGGAGTGGAGAGACGAACCCGACACCAAAGTTGTTTGGTCCTCCCATCATCTGGGTGTGATCAATGCCGCCAGTCGCGCTGCGGCTGCTGTTTGAAGCGTAAGTCATGTCGTACGAGCTGTAGTCATCGGTGTCGCTGTAGGCCACGGAAGAGCGGTCACCAAAGTCGCCAAAAGTGCTGGATGCCGGGCTGTAGCCGCCATAGGAGGGGCTGGGGATGTTGAGGTATTGCGGATGGGCGTAGGGAGATGACAGCTGGAGCGGGTTGATGGCTGAGCTCGGGCCTGGGTCCGCTGACATCATGGACAGGTCGTCCGCGCTGTAGCTGAACGAAGGGTTTCCAACGATATTCTCGCTACCATAAGGCATGTGGTACTCCACGGGGCCGGCGGTGGTCGCCGGCATGGTAAGAGAGCCGTTAGCCGCTGAAGTGACAGCAGCGTCGTGCAGGTAGAAGTTAGGCGGGTTGAACTGTGGGAACGACGGAGTTCTGGTCGGGTTGACCCAGCCCATGCGAGACCGGAACTCACTCACGACGTCAATAGAGAACTCCATGAGCGTCAGAGGAGTCTGGACGTCGCCCTTGTAGGCACTGTTGACATTGATGGAGAAAAGGCGGCGAGCAATCTCTTCGACGGGACCAATGGACAAGCTGCCAAAGTACGCAGCGCCAATCTCGGGGAAGAGCCGCTCCATGACCAGGGCAACTGTGTACAGGTGGGCAACGCTGATGAGGCTGCTGGGCGAGGTACCGGCATTTTGGAAGAAGCGCACGGGGGTCCAGAACAGCCAGTCACGCAGCGGCCGAAGGCGAGCAAACTGCTGAGCGACGGGAGTGTTGCTCTCCTTGCGAGCGCCCTTGAGAAAGGTGATCAACTGCGAGATGGCCTGGAAGTCCTCCTTGTTGTGCTTGAGGAAGGTCTCAACCTTTTGAAGCTGCTGGATGGTGCGCGTGAAGACCTCGAGGTCCTCCTTGCGAGGCTGGCTGGGCTTGTGGTCGGGAACAGGCGACGCAGGGGCCGTCGGAAACGTACTGCTTTCAGCGATGAAGTCTCCGAACTGGGATTCATGTTTCCAGAGGTCCATGGCCTCGATGACCTGGAAAGAGGGATAGGGGTCAGTTTGTCTGTTTTCGTTTTCGCACCACACAATGCACGTGTGTTGCACAACTTACCGAGCGGGTGCCCTGCATCAGTTGGGTCCAGCTCCGCCTAGAAAGATGAAGGTCAGTCGCCTGTGTTACAAGCATAGAAGAGAGAGGAAGAAAATGCTTTCACGTACCAGTCGGTGGCTTGCCAGGATAGAACCAGCGACGCCGCAAGGATGGCATCTGAAGTCTCGCGAGAAAAGGTGCTGATGGCCTCCTGGAGGCCCTTGAGGGCAATGCCACGGTGCTCGTCGGCCATGATGCCAACAATGGGACACTCGTTGAGGTAGGTGATGTGGCTGGCCGAGAAGGCGAGCAGGGCATGCATGACATAGGCGTTGGTCGCACCAATGCTGATGATTCTATATTAAAAGTCGTGTTAGTGGGGGTCATGTCCCCTGTTCCCGTCCCTGGTCGCGGGATGAGCCAGCCAATGAATCCAAAGGATCAGCACACGTACGTCGGAATCTGACGAGTCCAGATGCTGAAGCCATCGGCATCGATGCTCCTCAGCTGGTGGCAGATGGAAGCAACATGGTAGATAAGGCGCAGGCTCTCGATGGAGAGAAATTGCGGGTTTGGCTGCGGGTAGATGTTGAGTGCCGGGAAGGGGAATATGCCAGTCTGCTGCCAACGTGCAATATCGGCCTCGATCTCAGGCGTCCACATCAACTCGGGACGGTCAGGAGAAACCGACCGGTCCTCGCTAACAGGGATGTCGTTGTACGGGCACCGAATCTTATGCTTGGTGCAGTTGCGGCTAAGAAGTAAGGTGTCAGTATGACGACGTCGTCTACCCCCAAACAAACAAATAAAACGACTCTCAGCACAGTTTACGTGTGTAGACTTACCATTGAGGGAACGTCTCATCGCATCGGATATGACGACGTTTGCAAGTCTCACAGCCCTTGCGGGACTTGGTGTGACTGCGGCGAGGGGGACCACCACCAGGGCCAGCCATTGTTCACAACTTTGAAAGTTTAAAGTGAAAAATAAAAATAAAACTGGAAGCGTATGAAGCGAAATCAAGCGAGTGACGAGCTGTGGGAGTAAAGGATGTAATGTTAGTGACAGCTAAGGTTGTGGTTGTGCTGCGAACAAACAAAAACACATGGGAAGATCAACTTACTTAAAAGGATTAAGAACGGTTGAAGACCTTTGTGTCAACAAGAAGTGAAGTGGTAGCGAGCGTGGGGTGAAATAAAGAGAAATAAAGAAAGGTGGAAGAAACTGCAAAATAGCAGAAAGGATGAGGTGTGGTTGGAAATATGAGTGTTGTGAGCGAGAGTGTGTGTGTTTATAAAGCGAGTGTGGGAGGCTAGCAGATGGAGCCGTCTTTAATATATTTCAACTTAGAGACAGATGTAGGATGGTAACGGTGACTTGCAGGCACAGTGCGGGACGTTTGAAGGGGCTTGGGACAGAGGCATATGGCTGCGAGCTAGGGGCAAAAAACGAGTAGCAAGACCAGCAGGAAAAAGACCCGCTATCTGAATGGTATGTCCGGAGACTCCGCGGGAAACGTTCCCTCTGGCTTTCGAGGCTTCGACGGAATAAAACGAAGACGGGCTGCAGGTAAGCTAGGACCCTATTTGCCGGCCGTTTCGTTTTGGAAAAAAAAAAAAAAAAAAAAAAAGCGTGTTCCTGGCGTCTGATGTTGCAAGGCTCGATGGCGGAAGACACAGGGCTGACTGTGTGTCACTCTCCGGTTCGGGGAAAGCAAATGAACAAGCAAGCAGGAGAGGATGTGTAGGGTGTGTGATCTTGTCGTTTTGCAGCTGCAGGATGCGGCGGAAAACGGGAGAGAAAAAACGGAGAGTCGACTGCAGGTCGGGCAATCGGGTGAAATGGATGCAGTAACAACACACACAAACAAAAACAAGCTCGACAAAAGAGCCACGAATGAAATGTCGTCTGATACGGCAGGCTCTCAAAGCAACACACAAATGTTTGCTTAGCACGAGATTTGAGAGAAGCGAGAGCGAGAGACAATGCAGGAGGGTCTCTATTTTTCGTACGATACAGATACGGATGCTGAGCGTTCTGGAGAGAGAGATTTCGAGATATTTGAGATACTTGAGATAGCGACTGACGGATATGCTGATATGACTAAACGTCAGCCAGCATGGAGAGGTGGCGGGTGGTGATAAAAAACAAAAACAAAGCGAATGACTGGAGCCTCGAGGACTTCCTTTGGGAGTTGCTAAAAGCGAATGTGGTTGGGAGCAAAGAGAATTTTGCGAAAGCGAATGTGCCGAGATAATCTAATGTGATGATTCCAAAAGAGAAAAGGGAGGGAAGCCAAAGGAATGAGGGAGAGGGGAAGTCAATGAAGTTAAATACCACAGGGGCTGGGCGGTGCAAAAGTCCACGAGAAGGGAAAGAGCGTTTGAGGGCGCGCGTGTGTGTGGTGTGGACGTCTCGTGTGTCAAAAGAAAGGCAGGAGGGCCTGGCGGATACGGCGTGCCGTTGTTAGAGCGTCAAGCGAGGAAAGGGCCCTTGGGGAGAAAGAGCATGGGTGGTGGACAAGGGGGGGCGTGTGGGAAGGAACGAGCAGAGGCGAGGAGTGGCGGGCAAAGGGAAGGCTGCGAGAGTTGTAGTTGAGCACTGTTATGGGCAGGTGAGGCAAAGGACTGGGAAGGCATCGCAGCCACTACAAAAACAATCCAAACATAGCCTAGGTTTAGGTCGAGTGTTTTGGGCAAGAGGGAAGGCTACAAGGTTGTACCTGTGGCAAGAACAGAGGGCAGTCACGGCAAGCCTGAGGGAAACAGAAACAGAGTCCAAGAAAAGACAAATTTAGAAGGAGGGCAGGCCCCAGCACAGGAAGGAAGTCACGACTCAGGTACGCGGAGGCTACAGGCCAATCAGCGAAATAAGGTGGTTCAGAGAGGGACAAGTGATCAGCCAGGCTGCCGTAAAACAAAGTGTGTGAGTGCGAGCTTGAGTAGGAAAACCGACGAGTGGAAAAAAAGGTACAAAAGCACCGAGCAAAGGAACAGAACGAGACACCAAACAACCAAAATACACATGCTAGCTAGGATTGCGGCAACTGCAACCACCAGACAAGGACCGCACAGCTTTTTGGTTACCGTAATAGGCAAGGTGGGCTGTGAAGGAAACGATGGGGGTGTGGTTGCTCAACTGTGGGTTTTGGGACGCTGGAAATGCGAAAGCGAATGGATTTGTTGCAAGAGAGCATGGCAGGGGGGAGGGGTGGGGGAAGAGCTTGGGTTCCCTGTGCGGTTTGGTGCAGCAGGTGGGGTGGTGTGGACAGCGGAATCGAGGCAAGAGCGACGAAGCGTCATCGGCTGGGCACCTCTCAGAGAGCATGCTCCGACGATGCTATTTTGATCTTTCAACGGCTTGCAGCAGGGCAACGAATAATGAACTTCGTACGGCGGTTATGAAACCACCCAAGGAGCCGGGCCACGACCCTGCGGACACGGTCCATAAGATGGCCGCGCTATGATCGTTCGCGTGTCGCTGTCGGAACACACTTTGAACGGACAACGGAAAACGGCCCAGCGTTGTTGTTTGAAGTTACGAGGAGGGCGATGCGAGGGCGATGCAATACGTATAGCATATAATAAAGCAAACCTGAAGCACTAAGACACAGTAAAATGTATGTCGTATACGACGTTTTTGTTAACAAAACAAATATTAAAAACAAATATTAAAAACAAAGCAAGCTTCACTATCACCACATCGCGGTGAGTGTCTTGGGAGTGCGATGGGACGTCCGATGGGCCATTAGCGAACGCGCGAGGCTATTCCGCATGGGGGGTTAGTTGGACGCGGCGTGGGGATGGACGCGCGAAAAGAATGTGCATGGGATAAAAATAGAGACTCAGATAAGATGCAAATGCCGTTTGGTGTCTTGGTATCGTTGGCGCCGTTGGGGGCAGTCTGCCCTGTGAGCCGATCTGGAGGGTGTCCTGAACAGGTGATTCGCGGGCAGTCTCTCGGCGTTGTGTATGCAAGAGGCAGCAGGTCGGAAAGTACGGAGTACGTGGTAAGCAAACTGCGTGTGAAATGTGTATGAAGGAGTGTCACCATTTTTTGAAAAACACGCTACTCCGTAAGCACTGCGCTACGTCATAGCGTTAGGGTGTCAGGGAAAGGACGGTCTACATCGATGGGCGCTGTCATACGATACTGCATGTTGCTCTCTCCAAGTACATTGTTGTGGGGATATGCATGCGCGAGACAGAAGTTTTGAGGTGTTGTAGCAAGTGCGGTGGAGCATGTGGTAGGTGGAGTGATGCAGACAATGGTCTGAGGGTTTTTTCTGCAGTTTTCAGCACATGTACACATGCGTCGTAGCTTCCTGTCGACTTTCACATAATCATCACAGGGAAGGTGCGAATGGAGGGCCCGAGTGGATCAACCAGGCCGAGCAGCGAACGGAAAGAGCTATCCACCATGCATGCCAGATCACGACTAGACCTGCCCGACAGCCCGAAACGAATGTCGTTTGTCCGTGCCCTCGAAAAGGCGGCTGGTGTCGTGACCTATTCTGCGGGTCTTGTCTACCAGCCTTTACCTTTTATACAATATTTTCTTTTCGCAGCCACGAGATGGTCCGTCAGGTGGGCGTTCGTTTTCCTTGGCTGGCCCGAACTACGCAGTGGTGCGGCAACCCACACAAACAAGTCGACAAGCATCACGCGAATGAGCAAGACGAAAGCAGTGAGGCAGTTCAAAAAGTCGGCAGAATGCGAAGTGAGGCCCGAATCCGTCACCCTGATGAGCCTGACTCCTGAATCACGGTGAAGTCATCGGCCTGACATGAGGCACTGCCCTACGTCCAATTCTTGGCGCCTGTCTACAAGTACAAAGTAATTACTCCGTAACTCTCGGCGTAGTTCTTGGAGGCCCTTGGCGGCAAATGTGAGCATAAAGACTGGGGACCATGGGGAATAAGGTTTGCTATGAGTGGGAACAAACAAAAATAAACAAAGAAAAGACCCTGACTACGTTGGTAAGCAACAAAACAACAAAAAACTGGGCAACGAAGACGTGAGAAAACGAAGATCGCCCACGTCAAACGGGCCTTGCGGTCCCCCACGACATCTATTTGTTGCGAATCACGCAGAGGAAGACGAAAATAGATGCCGGCGATCCACGACGTATCGAGTCAATCGACATTTTGGGCCGGTGTCCAATAGGGTGAGGTACCCCGAACCATCCTTTTTCCGCCTGGCGACATATGTATTGCGTCGTCCGTAGTGTCTGCCTGTGATTTCGACTTTGTGACTTGGGATGAGGAACGACACAATCGGATTAGGGATGGCCCGCCGCCCATTGCCGGCCGCTCGCAGGAGCGAAATACGGAGGGGAAAAAAAGAAAATGTCGCGGACGTCGTCATAGGGCAGAGTTACAGAAGACAAGAGAGACACGCAGCAAAAAGAAACAATGTCAGTTCAAGCGAAGATGTGTTTGGGACGTTGCTGTTTATGGACGCGACCCCAGCACGTCAGCCAATCACATGAGACCAGTGACATTCTGGAAAGGCACGTCGAAGAAAACCCCATGCGGTTGGTGTTCGAATTTGGGATGGGGCCAACGCGTGCAACTGGGGCAGTGCACTTTTTTTAGGTTTCCATGTCTTGGCACCAGTTTTTGGTTGAAAAGGCCCTTGCAAAAGAAAAGGCAGGGGGGCGCGAGCGAACAGGGGGGGCCAGTGCCCGGCAACAACGGCCAACTGGCACAGCAGCCGGACCACTGACAAAAAGGAAAGACAAAAGTGGGGGGAGTTTGAGCTGGAGAGACTGAAAGGGGAGCTCGAGAGAGTTCATCGATATTCTAACCCGTAAATGAGAAAAATGCCATACCCAGCTCGTTGATAGCGCATGGTTTTCAGCAAATTCAGCACTGGGTTCCAGGGTCCAGCGGATGTCCTCGGCCAATACGCCATTGTTTACCTGAGTCTTTGTCAAACGAACGGCCGTTCTCTA